TGAACCTTTTGAGTTGCCTGGGCCGCTAAAAAGGAAAAAATGCCCGGGCCGTTTTTTTGTCCCAGTCCAGCCCTGGCTGCAACAAACGATTCATTTAATAGTCGATTAATCTGTTTATTATTTCTTTGATTAATAAATTAAACATATATTTTTTTAAACATCTTTAATTTCCACCCCTTTATTAAAAAACGTGACCATGGACCAACACAAAAACATCCAAATGTATGCTATACAAATATTGGCTTTTATAAAAAAGCAAAGTGCACAAAAAGAGGGTATTTTGGGCCGATACCGATGTTTAATTAACGATACTGAACTGGACAATTTGGTCAATGTTATATATATATATAATTGTATACCACCACCATTTACACACACACCACTCATTCTAGGCAATGGAAGTAAAGTGTCTTGTCTAAGGACATAACAGCAGAGGCACTTTACAGCCGCAGCCGCCCCACTGTTCCCAGAGGTGTCTTGCCGCCAAGGACACAACGACAGCAGACAGTGGGAGTTGGGCTCAAACCCACGACCCTCTGGCCCAAAGGCCAATGCTCTACCAACTGAGCTACTGCCACATTAATCCACATGGGCAGACTCGGACTAAAGGCTGGGCACAGGTGTTTAGTTGCTAATTTAAAGCCTAAATACACCCACTTTGAGGCCTGTATGATGCTTGGGTGCGGTGAGACCAGAAACTGGTGGTCGCTTCGCTCTCTGAGATGGTACCTTGTGTTCAGCGTTTATTCCAGAGGTGGGACAAAGTCATTGTTTAGCAAGTCACAAGTCAGTCTCAATTCATTGCCCTCAAGTCCCGAGTCAAGTCACGAGTCAAGACAGGCAAGTCCCGAGTCGAGTCCAAGTCAAAGGCCAACAAATCTCAAGTCAGTCCCAAGTCCTACGGTTTGACTTTCGAGTCCTCTCGAGTCTTTTTGACCGCGATTTGTTTCTTGTTGGTCTCCACGTACTTTTGTAGGCAAACAAAATAATGTTAGGAATCATTTTGCTGGTGCATTTTCGTTGGTCTCTGACCCATGGACTAACAGTTTGTTCCATGTCGTTGGCTGCTGGTAAATCAAAACTATCTACGTGATCTAATTGGATGTTGTGCCAGATGCAGGCTCAGTTACACATGCACAGACCACACATAAAATCAGAGCAGTCCGTGTCAACATACTTTTTATCTTTGGGGTTTTTAATGGGAAGTAGCAAGTGCAGCATATATGAATATGAGTATTGGGCTAGGACCTGTATCTATATAATCAGTTTAATGTCCGTAGTGGTTATTGTTCCAAATGTCCTACTGTAGAATAGGGGTAGTATGAGGGGTCTAGGCTTTGGACCTGGGGCAGCTCGCCATCAACTGGACCAGCATTAGCAATATCTCATAATTACCAATATATCATTACATAATAAAATGTCTCATATAAATTAATTCAATCAGTCAAAGCACTGATTCTCATATCAATGCACCATAAACAATAGTGCAAATATTAATCTAGCTTAGTGCACATAATCAAAACAACTATCTAATGTATGCAAACTTTAGCAGGAGGAGCACAGCAAAAACATACTCATAATAATAGGCCTCGGCGCCCACACAGAAAAATATAAGAAAGAGCCAACAGAGCAGCGCAGGCTAGCGCTAGTTTGACTCACCAGTTCCTCTTTAAAACACGGCACACAGTGTGACAACTGCGTCGATTCAATTGTATGAGGCGCCTGTAGTGAAAGCATATCAATTACGGTTTGTAGAACAAAATATGACGTTAGGTCGCGATAAATACCTGCAGCTCGCTCATTTCCAGCTCCCCTAGACAACACACCCACCGGTGAATGCAGTCCGCTTGTTTAGGGAAGTGTTGCTGCGCGAACTGCGGGGAACTCACGTTCGAACTGTCTCGCAAGCGCTACAACTACCGCGAGGCTTTGTTTCTTCAGAGACGGCATAGATAGAAAGAGAGATGCGGAGAAAGGTAAAAATGGCCCGGGTTACGCAAGTCTTTACAAGTCAATTGGCGCAGGTCCAAGTGAAAGTCAGAGTCATTGATGTTAAAGTCCAAGTCGAGTTGCAAGTCTTTTTATATTTGGTCAAGTCGAGTCTAAAGTCATCAAAATCATGACTCGAGTCTGACTCGAGTCCACACCTCTGGTTTATTCCATCGATACTGCTAATCCAGCTCCGTGTCTTCCCTCTCGTTATCCACAGCGTGGCGTTAATGGCGGTGCAGGTGCGCGGTCCCACCAATACATCCATGGGTCCCACCCGGTCCAATACGTCTCGTCTCTGTTTCCCACGTAGCCAGAGGTAGTACTCTTGAGCGTCGCGGCACTCAAGAGTGCTATCTGGGGTCCGTGATGGTGATAGTCTGTCTCGTTGACAGTTCAGTACCGACCCAGAGTCAGCTCTGTGGTTTCGCTGGGTTGGTGCAGCTGCAGTCTCTGATACAAGGTTGTTTCTTTACAAGCTCAATAAAATAGTAATACACGGTAAAAGTACAGTCCACACGCTCCGCGTTAGAACTTCTCAGTTTTGTCGTATATAACACTTCCGATGGCTTCTTTTAACAGCAAACCACGGCACAAAACTTTTACAAAAAAGAAAAAAAAAGAACACAACGTTAGTTATCGCTGTGCTCCGAGCGCCTCTCGAACCTTCTCTCCCATGGATCTATTACGTCACCTTCACTGACCGTCAAAGAATCGGAAAAACAACACTTTTCCACATGTACAATATTGTTAAATAAAATAAATAAGAATAATGCATTTTAACACTCGTAAATATGATTTTAACTCATTTAATCAACTATATATGCTAATGAATTATGAAATAAAACTGTCTTTTCAACTTTTATAACCAACTATGCTACATACTTCAATCTATTTTTAATAACTGAGATTATTATCCGGATTAAATAAGTATTTGCATTACAGGTACTACTTTTTCCAAAGTAACTAATTATCAAGGCTGTGCCATAGTGCAGCCATCCTCCTGTGAACTCACCACCTGCTGAAGCATCAGTGAGGGGCTGGTGCTCTGTGTACTGGCTGCAGTCCTGGCCATATCTGAATACTTCTGTAATTGATAGTAGTTCAGTAGAGATATTTGAATTTCAAAATAAGATTCACAGCCCCTAAATCCTGTTATTGTTTTCATTTCGATGTCTCGTTATTGTTTTCATTCGAGGTCTCGCCCTCCACCATTTCACCAATCAGAAAGTCAATTCAACACTGCTCAAGAGTTCTGCAACTTGTTTAAATTCTTGTTTATGTTCCTCGCGTCTCTCTCTCTCCTCGCGTCTCTCCCTTTCTCTCCCTCTTCACGTCTCTTTCCCTCCTTGCGTCGGTCTCTCTCTCCTCTCATCTCTCGCACCTGTTCTTCGCAGAGATATTGTTTGATGCGGAGCAGAGAGTCAGCATCTAGATGTATTGTGGGATTATTAAAAGAAGCGATTGGCGATTTAATGCTTTTTTCTTTAGAATAATGATGGTAAATCTGACTTTTAAAGTCCAATCACAAACCTCACGCATATCTGGCCACCTGAGTTAGGGAGAGTTAGGGAGAAGTTACAGGACCAATTTTGGCCATGTTTTTACACATGCCATTCATCATCCGTTTTCTTGCCCTTAGTCCATGTCTGGCTCTGGGGGGTGGCAGTCAGAGCTGCATCCAGATCACAGAGCACCAGCCCCTCACTGATCCTCCTGCAGGTGGTGAGTCCACAGGAGGACAGCTGTGGACTCACAGCTGTCCTCCTGTTAACAATTGTAAATTAACCATTGTAAACCGCTTTGAGACTCAGATCTGCAGTGAAAAGGCGGTATATAAATAAAGATTACTTACACATTGCTCCTTTAACTCGGTGTGTGCTATTGACGCATTAATGCGTCAATATGTATGGATTAGCTTTAGAGCATATTTTATCGAGCCACCAGGCGGCACCAGCGCTGCCTCTGTATGTTTTGAAAACAGGATGCGCTTCTGCCTCTTTTTCTCAGCTTTTTGTCTGAGACTGGTGATTTCAGTAAACAAAACAAGAAACAAGCTTGAAACAAAATTCTTTTTGCTGATGAAAGTAGACAGTCCATTCTTTCAGATAGTCATAGTTCACAATATTCTGTGGGTTTTAAAAAATCAATAAAAATCATCAAAAACTGGTGTCAATATGGGAGTACATGTAAGGGCAGGCAATTACCCTATTTCAAGCTGTGCTTGGCAACACACATACATCCACAGTCCATCGCAGGCTTTTTCTTTTTCTAAAATAAACCTCTTTTTTATGAATTACTTAACATTCAGTTTCTTTATAAAGAATGTTTTGCATATTTCAATTTGACAAAAACCAATTATTTTGAAGCAGCTTGCTCATGTGCATTCTTTGTTTTGGGTTTGATGTAATTTATTTTCTACATTTCTTTTGATGGGTATTATGGACACATAAAAAGTTTGAACACACCTTCTCTTCTTTCTTTATTTTCATGACTATGAAAATTGTAGATTCACACTGAAGGCATCAATACTATGAAATAACTGTCGTACTTAAAGTACTAAAAGTATGAAACAACTGAAAATATGTCTTACATTCTCGGTTCTTCAAAGTAGCACCTTCTGCTCTGATTAATTCTCTTGATGAGCTTCAAGAGGTAGTGACCTGAAATGGTCTCCCACAGTCTTGAAGGAGTTCCCAGAGATGCTTAGCACTTGTTGGCCCTTTCGCCTTCACACTGTGGTCCAGCTCCCCCCAAAACCATCTGGATTGGGTTCAGGTCCGGTGACTGTGGAGGTCATGTGGCCCAGCACCCATCACTCTCCTTATTGGTCAAACAGCTCTTACACAGCCTGGTGTGGATCTACAATCAATAGTCATGAAAGGAAACTCATTGAATGAGAAAGTTTGTCCAAACTTTTGGTCTGTACTGTACATAATCTCCATATCACATTAAAGAGACATAATCAATAAAAAATAAAGCAATTTAAATCAACAATGGCGTAATCTCACTTTTTCTTGGACGGTCCCTTGATGGTTGGCGGCGGCTGGGAAGGACCGCCCTTTTCCACAGAGTTACTACGGCGACAGCTCTGCTCTCCAGAGGCAGGGGAGGAGGATTCAGACCAGGCGGCCTCACACACTACCTGGAAGCCCTGAGCAGAGGGACAGAGCGTACACATAAGTTTAGCACTGAAGCCACACATTGTTCAGTTCATGAAAATAATTGCTCTTAAACCTGTTAAACTTGACCATGGCGTCATGGACAAAGCAGTGTTTTATCAAAATGATTGCTTCTAAATTGGTCTTGGGGATTACGACAGTTAAATTGCATTTGTTAAAACTTGGTTGCTTCCATTATATTGTGCCATGTTAGACCTTTCATTCATCAAAATGCAATAATTATTTTTATTCGAACAAATGTTAAAATGTTGTATTAATAGTTTCGTAGGTCTTGAGGCATGAGGAGGTATATTTATAGAAAGCCTTTTTGTATTCATGAAGGTCTATTGATCAATAATAATTACTTTCATTGAATAAGTCTAGATATAATTAAATATGTTACTATGGACAAAATGAGTACAGCTGCTTGGATTGAAACAAAACAGTGAAGGCTGAGTGTTGTAGACTATAGACTGAATAATGTTTACTTGAAAGTCTAACCTTTTGCTTTCGGTGGCTTAATGTCTATTTAAATAATGGGGTGGTTGTCTTGATAAACTAGTTAGACTCCCAGTGGGGGGCTCACTGACATTAAACCATGACCACAGAATACTTATTTGTGGGCTGCATGTTTGAGACCCTAAATGTAAATGGTAAATCTTTAATATGATACAAAATGAACAAAAATGCATTTCATTTCGTGCTTTAAGGAACCAAAAATGTAATACAGCATCTCTCAAAAACCGCCGGCATGGTAGACGTGCTCATTTTCACTGCTCAGGATGATAATTAAAGTGCAGGAGTGGTGAGGGAGTGCTTCCTCTGCGACCCCGGCTAACCGCGTTAATGCTCCCGAATGGCCAGTGCTAATGAATATAACCAGCAGCGGCCTCAGGGGGATGTGGGCCTAAAAGGGGGGGGGGCAGACAGATTCGACGCAGGTCCGTATCAGCGCCACTAAGCACCAAGGGATAGCGAGCAAATAAAATCACAATATAGACTTAAGGACCCCCCCCCCCCCGTCCCCTTTTGCCTGCTGCTCTGTGCCACTCCAATCATCACGCCTGCAAACACACCTGGTTTCTGCATCGTCACCACCAGTGCAACAGGATTAGCTCTACCGTCACTCTCCGCCAGTTTGTCGTCACTTTGACCCTAGTCAGCACTTGGCTCACTTTCCATCCTTGCAGTTTTGAATCACTCACCTTTGGATCTGGACCTCCCTGTGTCCAGATCCAGTTTTTGTTCCTACCAGTTTGTCACCGTGCCTGCCTGCCCACCCTTTACCGCTTACTTTTCAATTGTGAATAAATGTGTCTTTTTTTATTTTTTATTCACCAGCCTCCGCTTCTTGATTTAGATCTCAGAAAAACATCACACAATAACTCGTATGTTTTGTCTGCTGTAGTTGTAACTGAAGCCTACTAATCTATTACACCAGTTTGAAGCATTGTCCTCAGCCTTAAGTGATAAAAGACATTCTCCACGTGTCTGTCTTCATGGGTTAGATCCACACACAGCTGCTGCAGTAAGAGAGTTCATGCACTATGCTCATCTATCACTTCTTTGCTTTGCTTTAAAAAAAAACATTCATCTGCTCTACAGCTCCACATTTACACATTATTATGACAGGGTCTAACCAGTCCAATACTCTGAGAGAAGAGCTGCTTCTATAGAACCACGCTTAAAACTGTCTTTTTGATGTAGCATATGGTTAGGTCGGTAAGACTCAGGTCAGACTTTGGCCCTGTTTAGACGGAGACGCTACGACAGATAGATACAGATAGATTGATAGATATATAGATACTTTATTAATCCCTTTAGGAGAAATTCAGGTGTCCAGTAGCAGCAAAAATAAAAAATAAAATTGATCATTCAAAAAAAGCTAACAATAGCAATAATCAGCAACAGCCCTTCAGGTCCTCTGGGTGGAGCAGGACGGGTCACAGCAGCGGATGTGTAAAACATTAGAGTTGGTATTGGTTTGGCCTTTTGTTTACATGACGACGGTGTTTCAGGTGAAAATGCAAGTGTTGAAAAAGAGCCTCCAGAGTGGAACAGAGCAGAGACTCTGCTCAGGGGCCTGTTTCACAGCAGAATGAAGATAAAGGTGTGAATTCTCTCCTGCTATGACCTCAGCACTTCCCCGCATGTACAGTACATTTGGACACGCGCAGTAGCCGAGAACAAACGTAAACAGCATTGGCTAACAAAGAGCTCTGTATTACTTTGAGCTTTACACGGAGGAAAATTCTACTCCTTTGTCCAAACGAAACCATGTGAAGCTCTAGTTTCAGTTTCCATTTCCCAGCTGCTGATGAATGCAGAATGATGTTCGTGATTCTTTTACGTCTTTGGAGTGGCCTGAAAAGGATGTTGCTGAGTGTCACGTTCCACTGCCCACTACTGACCCGGCGCTAGAACTACACTGTTTTCAGGCGTCGTCTAAACGCTGTGCACTTCGAATAAGGAGCCTGGTCATTTTTGCTAATTGCTTTTTCTAAATGAGTCCCTATAACCCTAAGCCTCGAAACACACCCCTTCCCCGCCTGGGAGCTGCATCAGTCCAGCACCGCGGGGCCTCAGTCCTTGTTCTAAAGCCTGAGTTCTGGATCAATAGTGCGTCCGTGGGAGTCCGCAGATAGACTGTTAATTACACATTTTGTGATTGTCGATGCAGGAGGGTCTAACGACAGTGGTGATGATTCGGGAAATTTAACCACAGTGGTCAACATGTTCCCTGTGTTCTAATTGTTTGATTCTCTGATCTGTGTTGGGGAATCGACAACTTTGTAAAGTCTGCCTATATTATTACTGTTGTGATTTAAGGCTATACAAAACTAATTTGAATAGAATTGAATAGATCCATGGAGTATGTGCTCTCATTGTTTTTAATCATATTCTTGAATGTTTATGCAGATTTTTATATTTATGATTTATTTTTGGAGAAAGGCGTTCTACAAATACAAGTCGATTGATTGATTTTGGTCTAATTAATAACATTGTCTTGATATTTCAGTCCCAATGTTTAACTGATCTGTAACTTTAGATCAAAAGCATTCCAAAACAAATGACAAAACACACAATCATATTCCAAGCTCCTACCAGGGGCCCGGGGTTCCCAGCTCCATGGGGGCTGCACTGGTTGCTGATGGGGGAGGTCCTCTTGGCTGCAGTAGAAACAAACGGAGGATCTGTGTTCAGTGGGTCTTACACAAACAAGTCAAAACAAACAATGAACAGAGCTGTGCTAGCTTAGCCGCTATTTTCCATCAACAATTTTTATAATGATTTTTTTTCTCACACAAACAATATACAACCCCAAAAATATGTAAACGTATAATGTATAATAAAATATCATATTATAAGATGATATTATATTTTATAAATACTGGATGATACAATAAAATATAATAATAATGGTCCAAAACCCATATCATCACAGTGTTCCCCGTTTCAAGAGAAGAGGTGATTACAGCTTGTTCCCATAGGCTTTTTTTCTTACACTGCAGCCATGTGTTCTTGACCTTTGCTGAAATGCCGTTGACCCGGGACACTGTGGTAAAAGTGTCTTGTGGAGGATCAAGGATTTCCTCATCACCTGTGACGATGTTGCGGAGCGGCTTGATGAACGTGGTAAAGGCCGGGATGTCCGGCTGCCGGTGCTCCCACATGGGCTGCCAAATCACCAGCCCACTGGCCAGTCGGAACGTCAGGTCAGACTCCTGCAAACAGAGCAGACCGTGAGCAAAATAAACATAATGCTATTTATAGTTTATCAAGGATTATATTTCAGATATGTGAGTGTGGGGGATGGCTCTCCTCATGTAGAGAGACAGATCATTCTCTACATGAGGAGAGAACAGTGGTAAATGGAATCTGTTGGTCTAAATTATTAATGAAACCTGTATAGCCCATTCACCAGGGTATAAATCATGTATTTATGTATAATCAATATTATTCCTTTTTTCTATATTTATTTACATTTACTGCACAGTATTTTTTGTAACGTCTGATAAGATCAAGAGCATATACTGCGGCTTCTGTAGTGGAGGAGGAGGTTCCCCATAACATGTGTTCACAATTATAATTATAATAAATAATGAAATACTATCAATACCTGGGCAATCTGGGAGGGGGTTTTAGAGGGGTTGTCGGGATGTGTGTGTGTATTTTGTATGGGACAAAAAAATGCATGTGCCACGGGCAGATTCAAAATGACCGTGGGCAGCCCCTCCCGCAGGAAGACACATTTGTGCATGTGTTAGCTGCACAAGCTCCACGAGTGCATTCAAAAGTCCTCAGCAGCTAAACTCAGCTGGTCCCAAAAAGGGTATTAGGATGGATACATAGGATACAGCACCACCGGCAAGTAGTCAGATTACAACCATGTCATTGCACGTGCTCATGAACCCTGTAGAGTTGGGACCTGCCCCCACTGGTTGGAACACACTTGATGTCATTAGTCAAACCGTTCCCTTTACAAGTAGCTTAATGGGATAAAGTCATTGGAGAAATAAAAACTTGCGATTGCAAACAGGTTTACAAGGGACAAATAAATCAGGAATATACAAAAGGGCCGGCACAAGAGATTTCAAAACTGTCAATTTAAGTCTGAAATTAAGTTATATATACTAGTTAGACATATAGTATATACTGTATATATACTGTGTCGTACCTTGATTCGGTGGATGAGAGGCGCGAACAGGAAGACAAACAGCTCCACCGTGGCCATGCTCTTCTGGAACAGCTTAGTGCGGCTCTGCTCCTCGTCCTCCAGGGATCCGGAGCAGGGCCCCTGGTTCCCCACAGGCTGCAGGAAGCCTCCGCCTCCTCCGCCCATGGGCTGCAGCAGGTGGGCCAGCGCAGGGTCCTGGGCACACTCCTGAGGGGCCTCCAGAAGCATCCAATGTAAGGTGTGCAGCAGCTTGGTCTCCGCCACGCCCAGTTTGTCTTGGTGTCCTGCTCAAAGGAAGCTCATGTAAGTCAGTCATCTTTATTCATATTACAGACCAAGGTAACAGACCAAGGTAACAGACCAAGGTTACAGACCAAGGTAACAGACCAAGGTAACAGACCAAGGTTACAGACCAAGGTTACAGACCAAGGTTACAGACCAAGGTTACAGACCAAGGTAACAGACCAAGGTTACAGACCAAGGTTACAGACCAAGGTTACAGACCAAGGTAACAGACCAAGGTTACAGACCAAGGTTACAGACCAAGGTTACAGACCAAGGTTACAGACCAAGGTAACAGACCAAGGTAACAGACCAAGGTTACAGACCAAGGTACCAAGGTTACAGACCAAGGTTACAGACCAAGGTTACAGACCAAGGTTACAGACCAAGGTAACAGACCAAGGTAACAGACCAAGGTACAGACCAAGGTTACAGACCAAGGTTACAGACCAAGGTTACAGACCAAGGTAACAGACCAAGGTAACAGACCAAGGTAACAGACCAAGGTAACAGACCAAGGTTACAGACCAAGGTTACAGACCAAGGTAACAGACCAAGGTTACAGACCAAGGTTACAGACCAAGGTAACAGACCGAGGTTACAGACCAAGGTAACAGACCAAGGTAACAGACCAAGGTAACAGACCAAGGTTACAGACCAAGGTTACAGACCAAGGTAACAGACCAAGGTAACAGACCAAGGTTACAGACCAAGGTTACAGACCAAGGTAACAGACCAAGGTAACAGACCGAGGTTACAGACCAAGGTTACAGACCAAGGTAACAGACCAAGGTTACAGACCAAGGTAACAGACCGAGGTTACAGACCGAGGTAACAGACCAAGGTAACAGACCAAGGTTACAGACCAAGGTTACAGACCAAGGTAACAGACCAAGGTAACAGACCAAGTTTACAGACCAAGGTTACAGACCAAGGTTACAGACCAAGGTTACAGACCAAGGTAACAGACCAAGGTAACAGACCAAGGTTACAGACCGAGGTTACAGACCGAGGTTACAGACCAAGGTTACAGACCAAGGTAACAGACCAAGGTTACAGACCGAGGTTACAGACCAAGGTTACAGACCAAGGTTACAGACCAAGGTAACAGACCAAGGTTACAGACCAAGGTAACAGACCAAGGTAACAGACCAAGGTTACAGACCAAGGTTACAGACCAAGGTTACAGACCAAGGTTACAGACCAAGGTAACAGACCAAGGTTACAGACCAAGGTTACAGACCAAGGTTACAGACCAAGGTAACAGACCAAGGTAACAGACCAAGGTTACAGACCGAGGTTACAGACCAAGGTTACAGACCAAGGTTACAGACCGAGGTTACAGACCAAGGTTACAGACCGAGGTTACAGACCAAGGTTACAGACCAAGGTAACAGACCAAGGTTACAGACCGAGGTTACAGACCAAGGTTACAGACCAAGGTTACAGACCGAGGTTACAGACCGAGGTTACAGACCGAGGTTACAGACCAAGGTTACAGACCAAGGTTACAGACCAAGGTTACAGACCAAGGTTACAGACCGAGGTTACAGACCAAGGTTACAGACCAAGGTTACAGACCAAGGTAACAGACCAAGGTTACAGACCAAGGTTACAGACCAAGGTTACAGACCAAGGTTACAGACCAAGGTTACAGACCGAGGTTACAGACCAAGGTAACAGACCAAGGTTACAGACCAAGGTTACAGACCAAGGTAACAGACCAAGGTTACAGACCAAGGTTACAGACCAAGGTAACAGACCAAGGTTACAGACCGAGGTTACAGACCAAGGTTACAGACCAAGGTTACAGACCAAGGTTACAGACCGAGGTTACAGACCAAGGTTACAGACCAAGGTTACAGACCAAGGTAACAGACCAAGGCTACAGACCAAGGTAACAGACCAAGGTTACAGACCGAGGTTACAGACCGAGGTTACAGACCAAGGTTACAGACCGAGGTTACAGACCAAGGTAACAGACCAAGGTAACAGACCAAGGTTACAGACCAAGGTTACAGACCAAGGTAACAGACCAAGGTTACAGACCGAGGTTACAGACCAAGGTTACAGACCAAGGTTACAGACCGAGGTTACAGACCAAGGTTACAGACCAAGGTTACAGACCAAGGTAACAGACCAAGGCTACAGACCAAGGTAACAGACCAAGGTTACAGACCGAGGTTACAGACCGAGGTTACAGACCAAGGTTACAGACCGAGGTTACAGACCAAGGTAACAGACCAAGGTTACAGACCAAGGTAACAGACCAAGGTAACAGACCAAGGTAACAGACCAAGGTTACAGACCAAGGTTACAGACCAAGGTAACAGACCAAGGCTACAGACCAAGGTTACAGACCAAGGTTACAGACCAAGGTTACAGACCAAGGTAACAGACCAAGGTAACAGACCAAGGTAACAGACCGAGGTTACAGACCAAGGTTACAGACCAAGGTTACAGACCAAGGTTACAGACCAAGGTTACAGACCAAGGTAACAGACCAAGGCTACAGACCGAGGTTACAGACCGAGGTTACAGACCAAGGTTACAGACCAAGGTTACAGACCAAGGTTACAGACCAAGGTTACAGACCAAGGTAACAGACCAAGGTTACAGACCGAGGTTACAGACCGAGGTTACAGACCAAGGTTACAGACCAAGGTTACAGACCAAGGTTACAGACCGAGGTTACAGACCAAGGTTACAGACCAAGGTTACAGACCGAGGTTACAGACCAAGGTAACAGACCGAGGTTACAGACCGAGGTTACAGACCAAGGTTACAGACCAAGGTTACAGACCAAGGTTACAGACCAAGGTTACAGACCAAGGTTACAGACCAAGGTAACAGACCGAGGTTACAGACCAAGGTTACAGACCAAGGTAACAGACCAAGGTTACAGACCAAGGTAACAGACCAAGGTAACAGACCAAGGTAACAGACCAAGGTAACAGACCAAGGTTACAGACCAAGGTTACAGACCGAGGTAACAGACCAAGGTAACAGACCAAGGTTACAGACCAAGGTTACAGACCAAGGTAACAGACCAAGGTTACAGACCAAGGTAACAGACCAAGGTTACAGACCAAGGTTACAGACCAAGGTAACAGACCGAGGTTACAGACCAAGGTTACAGACCAAGGTAACAGACCAAGGTAACAGACCAAGTTTACAGACCAAGGTTACAGACCAAGGTTACAGACCAAGGTTACAGACCAAGGTTACAGACCAAGGTTACAGACCAAGGTAACAGACCAAGGTAACAGACCAAGGTTACAGACCGAGGTTACAGACCGAGGTTACAGACCAAGGTTACAGACCAAGGTTACAGACCAAGGTTACAGACCGAGGTTACAGACCGAGGTTACAGACCGAGGTTACAGACCAAGGTAACAGACCAAGGTTACAGACCAAGGTTACAGACCAAGGTAACAGACCAAGGTTACAGACCAAGGTTACAGACCAAGGTAACAGACCGAGGTTACAGACCAAGGTTACAGACCAAGGTAACAGACCAAGGTAACAGACCAAGTTTACAGACCAAGGTTACAGACCAAGGTTACAGACCAAGGTTACAGACCAAGGTAACAGACCAAGGTTACAGACCAAGGTAACAGACCAAGGTAACAGACCAAGGTTACAGACCAAGGTAACAGACCAAGGTTACAGACCGAGGTTACAGACCAAGGTTACAGACCAAGGTTACAGACCAAGGTTACAGACCAAGGTTACAGACCAAGGTTACAGACCAAGGTTACAGACCAAGGTTACAGACCAAGGTAACAGACCAAGGTTACAGACCAAGGTTACAGACCAAGGTAACAGACCAAGGTTACAGACCAAGGTTACAGACCAAGGTAACAGACCAAGGTTACAGACCAAGGTAACAGACCAAGGTTACAGACCAAGGTAACAGACCAAGGTTACAGACCAAGGTTACAGACCAAGGTAACAGACCAAGGTGACAGACCAAGGTTACAGACCAAGGTAACAGACCAAGGTTACAGACCAAGGTTACAGACCAAGGTTACAGACCAAGGTTACAGACCAAGGTTACAGACCAAGGTAACAGACCAAGGTAACAGACCAAGGTTACAGACCAAGGTTACAGACCAAGGTTACAGACCAAGGTTAGACCAAGGTTACAGACCAAGGTTACAGACCAAGGTTACAGACCAAGGTTACAGACCAAGGTAACAGACCAAGGTACAGACCAAGGCACAGACCAAGGCACAGACCAAGGTTACAGACCAAGGTTACAGACCAAGGCACAGACCAAGGTACAGACCAAGGTTACAGACCAAGGTACCGACCAAGGTTACAGACCAAGGTTACAGACCAAGGCACAGACCAAGGCACAGACCAAGGTAAAGACCAAGGTAACAGACCAAGGTAACAGACCAAGGTTACAGACCAAGGTAACAGACCAAGGTTACAGACCAAGGTAACAGACCAAGGTTACAGACCAAGGTTACAGACCAAGGTTACAGACCAAGGTTACAGACCAAGGTTACAGACCAAGGTTACAGACCAAGGTTACAGACCGAGGTTACAGACCAAGGTTACAGACCAAGGTTACAGACCAAGGTTACAGACCAAGGTTACAGACCGAGGTTACAGACCAAGGTTACAGACCAAGGTAACAGACCAAGGTTACAGACCGAGGTTACAGACCAAGGTTACAGACCAAGGTTACAGACCGAGGTTACAGACCGAGGTTACAGACCGAGGTTACAGACCAAGGTAACAGACCAAGGTTACAGACCAAGGTAACAGACCAAGGTTACAGACCGAGGTTACAGACCGAGGTTACAGACCAAGGTAACAGACCAAGGTAACAGACCAAGGTTACAGACCAAGGCTACAGACCAAGGTTACAGACCAAGGTTACAGACCAAGGTTACAGACCGAGGTTACAGACCAAGGTAACAGACCAAGGTTACAGACCAAGGTTACAGACCAAGGTAACAGACCAAGGTTACAGACCAAGGTTACAGACCAAGGTAACAGACCAAGGTTACAGACCGAGGTTACAGACCAAGGTTACAGACCAAGGTTACAGACCAAGGTTACAGACCGAGGTTACAGACCAAGGTTACAGACCAAGGTTACAGACCAAGGTAACAGACCAAGGCTACAGACCAAGGTAACAGACCAAGGTTACAGACCGAGGTTACAGACCGAGGTTACAGACCAAGGTTACAGACCGAGGTTACAGACCAAGGTAACAGACCAAGGTAACAGACCAAGGTTACAGACCAAGGTTACAGACCAAGGTAACAGACCAAGGTTACAGACCGAGGTTACAGACCAAGGTTACAGACCAAGGTTACAGACCAAGGTTACAGACCGAGGTTACAGACCAAGGTTACAGACCAAGGTTACAGACCAAGGTTACAGACCAAGGCTACAGACCAAGGTTACAGACCAAGGCTACAGACCAAGGTAACAGACCAAGGTTACAGACCGAGGTTACAGACCGAGGTTACAGACCAAGGTTACAGACCAAGGTTACAGACCAAGGTTACAGACCAAGGTTACAGACCAAGGCTACAGACCAAGGTTACAGACCAAGGCTACAGACCAAGGTAACAGACCAAGGCTACAGACCAAGGTAACAGACCAAGGTTACAGACCGAGGTTACAGACCGAGGTTACAGACCAAGGTTACAGACCGAGGTTACAGACCAAGGTTACAGACCGAGGTTACAGACCAAGGTTACAGACCAAGGTTACAGACCAAGGTTACAGACCGAGGTTACAGACCAAGGTTACAGACCAAGGTTACAGACCAAGGTAACAGACCAAGGTAACAGACCAAGGTAACAGACCAAGGTAACAGACCAAGGTAACAGACCGAGGTTACAGACCGAGGTAACAGACCAAGGTAACAGACCAAGGTTACAGACCAAGGTTACAGACCAAGGTAACAGACCAAGGTTACAGACCAAGGTAACAGACCAAGGTAACAGACCAAGGTTACAGACCAAGGTTACAGACCAAGGTTACAGACCAAGGTTACAGACCAAGGTAACAGACCAAGGTTACAGACCAAGGTTACAGACCAAGGTAACAGACCAAGGTTACAGACCGAGGTTACAGACCAAGGTTACAGACCAAGGTTACAGACCAAGGTTACAGACCGAGGTTACAGACCAAGGTTACAGACCAAGGTTACAGACCAAGGTAACAGACCAAGGCTACAGACCAAGGTAACAGACCAAGGTTACAGACCGAGGTTACAGACCGAGGTTACAGACCAAGGTTACAGACCGAGGTTACAGACCAAGGTAACAGACCAAGGTAACAGACCAAGGTTACAGACCAAGGTTACAGACCAAGGTAACAGACCAAGGTTACAGACCGAGGTTACAGACCAAGGTTACAGACCAAGGTTACAGACCAAGGTTACAGACCGAGGTTACAGACCAAGGTTACAGACCAAGGTTACAGACCAAGGTTACAGACCAAGGCTACAGACCAAGGTTACAGACCAAGGCTACAGACCAAGGTAACAGACCAAGGTTACAGACCGAGGTTACAGACCGAGGTTACAGACCAAGGTTACAGACCAAGGTTACAGACCAAGGTTACAGACCAAGGCTACAGACCAAGGTTACAGACCAAGGCTACAGACCAAGGTTACAGACCAAGGCTACAGACCAAGGTTACAGACCAAGGCTACAGACCAAGGTAACAGACCAAGGCTACAGACCAAGGTAACAGACCAAGGTTACAGACCGAGGTTACAGACCAAGGTTACAGACCGAGGTTACAGACCAAGGTTACAGACCGAGGTTACAGACCAAGGTTACAGACCAAGGTTACAGACCAAGGTTACAGACCGAGGTTACAGACCAAGGTTACAGACCAAGGTTACAGACCAAGGTAACAGACCAAGGTAACAGACCAAGGTAACAGACCGAGGTTACAGACCGAGGTAACAGACCAAGGTAACAGACCAAGGTTACAGACCAAGGTTACAGACCAAGGTAACAGACCAAGGTTACAGACCAAGGTAACAGACCAAGGTTACAGACCAAGGTTACAGACCAAGGTTACAGACCAAGGTTACAGACCAAGGTTACAGACCAAGGTAACAGACCAAGGTAACAGACCAAGGTTACAGACCGAGGTTACAGACCGAGGTTACAGACCGAGGTTACAGACCAAGGTTACAGACCAAGGTTACAGACCAAGGTTACAGACCAAGGTTACAGACCAAGGTAACAGACCAAGGTTACAGACCGAGGTTACAGACCGAGGTTACAGACCGAGGTTACAGACCGAGGTTACAGACCAAGGTTACAGACCGAGGTTACAGACCGAGGTTACAGACCGAGGTTACAGACCGAGGTTACAGACCAAGGTTACAGACCAAGGTTACAGACCAAGGTTACAGACCAAGGTTACAGACCAAGGTAACAGACCAAGGTTACAGACCAAGGTAACAGACCAAGGTTACAGACCAAGGTTACAGACCAAGGTAACAGACCAAGGTTACAGACCAAGGTTACAGACCAAGGTTACAGACCAAGGTTACAGACCAAGGTAACAGACCAAGGCTACAGACCAAGGTTACAGACCAAGGTTACAGACCGAGGTTACAGACCGAGGTTACAGACCGAGGTTACAGACCAAGGTTACAGACCAAGGTTACAGACCAAGGTTACAGACCAAGGTTACAGACCAAGGTAACAGACCAAGGTTACAGACCGAGGTTACAGACCGAGGTTACAGACCGAGGTTACAGACCGAGGTTACAGACCAAGGTTACAGACCAAGGTTACAGACCGAGGTTACAGACCGAGGTTACAGACCGAGGTTACAGACCAAGGTAACAGACCAAGGTTACAGACCAAGGTTACAGACCAAGGTTACAGACCAAGGTAACAGACCAAGGTTACAGACCGAGGTTACAGACCAAGGTAACAGACCAAGGTTACAGACCAAGGTTACAGACCAAGGTAACAGACCAAGGTTACAGACCAAGGTAACAGACCAAGGTTACAGACCAAGGTTACAGACCAAGGTTACAGACCAAGGTTACAGACCAAGGTTACAGACCAAGGTAACAGACCAAGGTTACAGACCAAGGTTACAGACCAAGGTTACAGACCAAGGTAACAGACCAAGGTTACAGACCAAGGCTACAGACCAAGGTTACAGACCAAGGTTGCCCTTTAACGTTCAGAGTTCAAATATTGTCTCATTCTCTCCACACAAGCGAGACACTGAACACACTGGTGTGCCTCAAAGCCTCCAACCAACACTATCCTTTTCCTCATTCATTACATTCATAGGTATTGTACTGGAGGTACAATAGATATGGAGGAAACCTATGCAGACACAGGGAGAACATGTAAAAGTGTACATGTAAAAGTAAGCAATTGAATAAGTAAGTAATCTTTATTTATATCACACATGTGTACAGGGCTGGACTGGGACAAAAAACCGGCCCGGGCATTTTTTCCTTCTTACCGGCCCAAGCATGTTTTTGTCACGTTTTTTACAGTTTGTTTATACCAGGGATCGGCAACTCAAAAGGTTCAGAGAGCCATATTAGAGCCAAAAAAAACTAAAAACATCTGTCCGGAGCCGCAAAAAAATAACAGCCTTGTATAAAGCTTATATGAAGGTTACACAACATTAGCTACATTAGCCTTATATCTAAATGACCAAGTAAAGGCTACAAATACATAATAAGCATTCATGATTATCAAATGTGTGTTTTCACTGCAGCGTGTCCAGGAGAGAATGACGCACCACGTGACGACTCTGCTTTAACTTTGACTTCCATTTTTTTGCCTTCATGCAACTGTAGAAATACAGTAAATAAATCTGCTTTTTGGCTCAAAGGTCACACACCTGCACTGTCCGCTCATATCGATCACGTCACAGGCTGAAGTTTGCTGGAGCTGAATGTCCTTAATGGCCTTTTCTTTCACAGTCTTTGCAGAGGTTTTTGAAGTCTGAAAAAGGTGCTCCGGATTTTGTATGAAAGAATCCTTCACGTAATCCCTGTGAACGGTATTTAGTGCTTCATTGTTCCTTGTGTTGCAACAAAACTTCCTATTACATCGCAAACATGAAGCAGTCTTTCCTCATTGACTAAAAGAAAATGTTCAGTCTTGTCCTTAGAGTCGATAATAAGACTGGACTTTCTCTTTTTATCTTTGGGATCCGTGCGCACACGCCGGTTTGTTTACAGCAGCGGCCGCCTGGCGCGGGGCCGCGTCACAGGATATGACGCACTATGTTGACAGAAATGTTGAAATTGAATATTACTTATACACATTTTTACAGCATTGAAATACGTTAGGATTGTTTTTCCTCTCACAGAAACCACATTCAAACTAGAAATAAAATATAGCCCTCCCACTCCATTTTCAGACATTTTTGAAAAGGCTCCAGGAGCCACTGGAGGAGCACTAAAGGTTGCCGACCCCTGGTTTATACAGTATGTGGAAGCACATACTGTAGAGGATCAGGATGTCTGCAGTTTCAACAAAAAAATAAAGTGCAATAGTCTACATTACAAGAGTAATAAACATGTCTCAGAGTGAGGGAGGTGGACACAGACATGAGAATTGGTCAAAAAAGACTGAAATGCATAATGTCAGCCATTGGCTGGCTCTAAATCTGTTTAATTTGTTCACAACATTTTACTTTTGGGCTCAAACATGAACTTTTAATGCAATGGAAAATGTAGGCACCCGAGCTTTAATTTAGTCGCACTTCGAGAGGAGAGGGGAGACGCGGACTGTTTCCTGCAGCAGTGTGTTTATTGGATGCACAAATTACGCAAAGACACGCATGGTCTTGTGCACCTTTATGGGGTTGGGTATGGTCACGTTGCAGCTACGCGCTCGCCGTGTTGTGTTGTGAGCGGTTCCCGGTGAGCGGTTCCCGCGTCCAGCTCAGAGCCGCTGGATGCGGGAACACTGCGGCCGCTGAGGTGGTGGAATCCCGTTCGAGTACATACAGCAGGTGCCCCGCGGACACGCGCGCCCCCTCGAACAGTTCTCAACGGATTTACACTTTTCACAAACATTTCTTTTGTATGAGGCAAACAGACCGGCCCAAATATGGGCATCGGCCCTTCTGGCATTGCCCGGTACGCCCGATGGCCAGTCCAGCCCTGCATGTGTACAACCCAGGGTCACCCAAAGCCCTTTGCAATGTTCAGAGTTCAGATATTGTTTCATTTTCATTTTCCACACAAGCGAGACACCAAACACACTGGTGCGTCAAAGCCTCCAAACCAACACCATCCTTTCACTCTTTTGGTTCAGGCTGTTCCAAAGCGCTTTACAAATGTCCTGTCCAATACAGAAACTGAAAGATTTTAATGTGAGTGCGGTTTGTACCTAGCTTGTTGCGGTTGGACAGCAGGATGGCGGTGCAGTGGAGCACGTGGGGGAGCGCCGCCTGCACCAGGTCCCAGCGGGAGATGCTCTGGATGGCCTCCGACAGGGCTGGGGACAGGCCGTGCAACTTGTGCTCCACCAGCACCCTCTCAAAGGACTGGAGCAGAGCCAGAGCAGAGAGAGAGAGCAGAGATCAGAGAGAGCACAGAAGCGTCTTTATGTGGTGGACAGCGAGAGCCAACACATCAAGCAGCATTCACTTTTCTAACCTTTTAATGATGTTATGTTGTTCTCTCAAATCTGGGACCAGTTTACTCACATACAGAATACATGTTGTCCGTCTCAACAGAAAGAGTTTGGTAAAAATTAACATGTTATGAACAGATCAGATATTGGTGATCGTCTACAACTTTACTGCAGCTTTTTAATTACTTTTCCTGGTTTTATTTTGATATATCGTCTATTCCGGTGTTATGTCTGTGTGCGTCCCTGCGTGTATTTAACCATGTGCTCCTCTCCCCTTGCTGTTGGACCATTGTGTTTTTGTCCCTGTCTCGTGTTGGGTTGAGTTCTGATTTCCTTATCCTGGATTTTGTTATTTTTTGAGTTTTTGTTTATTTAATCTTATAATTTGGCATTTTCCTGCATCGTGGGTCCTTCCTCTGGTTGAATCATGACAACTTGTCCGCTGTGGTCCTGTGGCCACTCAACAGTTTCTGGAGAAATCCCAAACCTTAGGATTGTGGTCAGTCTTTTCCATGGGATAAACTTGTAATGGTCACTGTGATGATGGGTTTAATGCAGTCGTACATATGCCGCAAATACTTCTTCCATTTACCGGGTGTTGTTTGTTGGAAGAGAGTGAAGATAATGTAAAAAGAATATGTTTTGTTGCATCAAATTTGGCCAATGATTAAATAACTATAATAAAAGTGTGTGGCTGATAACAAACATTGATAACCCAAATAAAACATAAGAATCATGCAATCGAGCTAAAGTAAAAAAAATCATTTTTATCAGCGGCAAAGAAAATAATCTTTTCTTTGCCGCTGTTTTGTTTTGCTTCTCTTTGTAATTAAGTTATTTGTGTCTTTTCTGGCTAAAAAGCTGATCTAAAGTCGTCCATAGCAGGAGTCTCCAACCTGTAAAAGGGACCTCACATATCGGTGCAATATCAGAACCAATGTCAGAATGTGCAATATGAAACCACATCAGTCACTTTACTTTCCATATTCGTCGGTGCAATAATAACTTAAATAAGGTCAAAATATGCAATACAGAACCGCATGTGGCACTTTACTCACTCATCGGTGCAATAATAACTTCAATGAGGCCAAAATGTGCAATATAGAACCGCATGTAGCACTTTACTAACTCATTGGTGCAATAATATCTTAAATAAGGTCAAAATGTGCAATACAGAACCGCATGTGGCACTTTACTTTCTCGTCGGTGCAATAATAAATTAAATAAGGTCAAAATGTGCAATATAGAACCGCATGTGGCACTTCACTTTCTCGTCGGTGCAGTAATAAATTTAATAAGGTCAAAATGTGCAATATAGAACCGCATTGGCACTTTACTTTCTCGTCGGTGCAATAATAACTTAAATAAGGTCAAAATGTGCAATACAGAACCGCACATTGTTGAAGTCAGAGATGTTGTACTTATTTTGTTGCCTATAATTACAGTTTATTTTATTTAGTATAGATTCTAGAATATAGCTGTGTTCATTGAATTTGTGTTGTGTGCTCCTCATTCCTACTACTCGTGGGAGGAATAAAAAATCTCTGAATCTTAATAAAACATGTATGTATTTTTTCATATAGAGTCCACTTTTTGAACAAAACTGTCATGGTGGGGATTTTATGTTTGTATTTTGGTTTTATTTTGAAAAGTTCTCGGTGCTTTGGCTCTAGTTGTACTTCCTGTCTTGTCTGCCCCGCCCTGATGTGTTTCCCCTGTGTCTGTGTCTATATGTACCTGTGCTCCTCTGCCCTTGTTGCTGGTCCATTGTCTTGTTTTTTCCTGGTTGCGTTTTGGATTTTCGAACTTGTAAATTCATTTTATTTTGGCATTCCTGCATTTTGGGTCCTTCATTGACGATCAGGAGAACCAATAGCCTTGACGGAAGTAGAAAATCCTCCTGTAGAATTACCTCCTGTGTACCTTTCATGTGATTAATGACCCACAGACACACTTTGAAAGGGATTGAGGAGTGTGTGAGTGGAGAGCAGTGGGAAACACAGCGGAATCTCATTTGTTAATGTGCGGTTCAGGTGCACTGAGGGAAAGAGATTATGCAGAGGAGAGAGCTGTCGTTACCAAGATTAAAATCCGAACTACTCACCACGCAGGACGCTTCGTATTGCTTGCCCAACTTGGGACGCAGGAACGCACTACGGAGACAGGACAGGCAACAGAGAGTGTGTGCTTAGTTAATACACCACAGATTTCACACTGGGATTGAACAGAGTGACAGTTTGTGACTAAACATAATGTGCAAAAACGTCTGTTGAGAGATTTTTACGTTCTGTGTTTCTTATGTTTTGTCTCCTGGAATCATAATCTGTATCTGTCCGTTTACAACTACTATAAATGGCTCACTTAGTTCATTTTTTCCAGTTTTGGATTAATTATGTTAGAAAATTATAATATGCCATTGTTGTACTCTAAATAAAGAAATAAATTGACTTTTTACTCATTTTAGAGAAAGTATTCATGGTTTTTGGGCATCAACCTATTTATATTTATGTACCTGTGCGAATACTGTCTGTGGTGAATCAGTCTTTGTTGGCTGCCTGTAAACTGTGCCTCTGGTCCTTCAGCTCGAGCTGCAGCCCGCCTCCTCCCCATTAGCGCTTAAACAGTGGGATAATCTCTCCACTGGCTCATCTCTTCAGCTTCCGCCACCACCAGGGTCTTGATACCAGTGGGATTTCTCTCTCATAATCCCAATTCCATTCCTTCCTGCTGTATTCATTTCTACCTGGGACAAAACCATTACCATCCTTTCATGGACCACATTCTGTATTTTCAGGAGTTTACGCACAGGTACTCAGAACTCAATGCTCTCAGGTTGGTGACCCGTGGTGTAGACTGACCCACGGTGGTTTGCAAAGTTTAAATAAATGTCAAATACGATATATATTTTAAGACGTATTGGCCTTTTTCGCTTGGTAAGATACTTTTGGCACTGGTCATCAGCAGCTTGAGAGTGGAAAGGTTTTCTGCATCTGCTCCTCAGAAAGCGAAAAGGCGTAAGACACGTATTCTATATATACAGTAGGTGAGTAATGTTTGTACTTGAATCTCTATAAACTCTTCCTGTATTTTGGGTGTGAAAATCTCCATCCTGCAAATGACCTCTGAAAAAAAAAAAATAATAATAATAATAATAATACTTGAATTTGTGTCGTCCTTTATCCATTATCTGGCGCCAACAAATAATCTCTCTCTCTCTCAAACACACACGCACGCACACAAGCACGCACACACACACACACACACACACACACACACACACATATACACACACATCATTTCCTAATGTATTTGTTGGTAATATAAAATGGAACGCAGGTTATATTGCAATTTTACCAATTTTCCACAGTTGTACACGTCTGTCACATATGATCGACATAAAAATAGTCGATCATCTTTTGACCGGTGAAAATCTCTCCTAGTGTGACATCACAAGAACCCATACCGTAATACATCAATGTCACTGTCGCCGGTAACAAGGTAAATGTCAAATCTCTTCCATCCGTACGCAGTCCAGCCCACCTGTTCTGCTGCCCGCTCACGTACGCGCACACGCACTAACCTGGTCTGCCTCCACAAGAAGGTCTGGATGGGGAACGGGACCCCTTTGCCGCACTCGGGCTCGCCATCGTCCAGGCTCTTCCTCTTCACCATGTCAGGCTTCGGTCCAAGCAGGAGGTCATGTGTGTTTACGTGGATGTCCCCCCCCCGATGGTGCGCGTAAAATGGCTGCAGACGCTCGGAGCTGCTGGTGGATGTGGTGAGGTAAAGGATGAGGAGGAGGGAGAGGAGGAGGAGGAGGAGGAGGAGGAGGAGGAGGAGGAGGAGGAAGAGCGGATCGCCTCCTCCGCTGCTGGAAGGCGACTGATGGCTTTTTTATTTTGATCTGAGTCGAGACGCAATGCGCAGCTGCAGCAGATGTTTCCTGTTGTTCCCACGCGCGGTTATAGGCTTTGGGGTGGGTTCGATCCCCCCCCTAATCCCATCTACTGGCATCAACAGGTAGTCTGATTAAGAGGTGGACTGATGGATCTATTATTATGATTATGATTATGAGTATTATAATTATGATGATGATGATGATGATTAGATTAGATTTTATTACAGGCTCGTAGTCCAGAAAAAAAAATAGACAAGACTCAACACACTAGAAACAGACAACATAAAACAATAAAAGTCGCCAAATTATTATTATTATTATTATAGGCACAAACGGTCAATTATATCAACCTAAATTAGAACAACCCTAAAGTCTGTGGGAGCTGTGCTGGACAGCTGAGGGCTGAGGGCTCTACTGCAGGCCATCCTGGGTAACTCCAGACACCCTCTGCATGACACTATGGCCTCTCAGGGGAGTTATCGAAGCAACAGGCTCCTATCACTGCGCTGCCGAACGGAACGTTTCAAGATATCCTTTGTTCCTGCCGCTGTCAGACTGTACAACAAACCTGTATGAGTCTATTGCTGCTGGACACCTGCATTTCTCCTACTGAGGATCAATAAAGTATCCATCTATCTATCTATCTATCTATCTATCTATCTATCTATCTATCTATCTATCTATCTATCTATCTATCTAAGTCAATGTGTATGTCAGTGTGTGGAGTTAGGATTTGGAATGGACTGTCAGGAGATTTATAACCACGCCAAACAGTATCATTCAAAAGAATTGTTGCAGAAAATACTTGGAGGAAAGTGTGTGATGCCCTGGGCTTTGTTCTGGTGTTGAGAGAGTGGAGAGTGGCTGGTCGGAGAGCAATTGGGCCAGTGTGTGTGTGTGTGTGTGTAGAGTGTGATTTGTTGTTATGTTGGTGTGAATGTTTGTGTGCGTCTTTATTTCCTGTCTGAATGAGAGTGGGGCAGAAGGAGTTGGAAATATACAAGCGTTTGTTTCAGCGAACCCACAACCTTCAGGCCTAAAGCCAATGCTCTACCAGCTGAGCCACTGTCAACCCCCCTTTCCAAACCGTGTATATTGAATTATATCAAACAATAATGATTTTGATGACAATAATGATAATAATAATGATAATGATAATAATAACAATAATAACAAATTATTAAAACCATGTCATTCTAACAGTATAGACACTGTTGGGATGTTGTCACTATCTGGGCACTGTCTGATGCAAAAGCAGCTTTGTTCACGACCCCCTCCCTCAGGATCTGGGTCTACACTCTTATAAACTCTTTTCAGTTCCTTCCTGTATGTACTGTATGTGTGTCATATTTGTGCCAAGCTCTAAGCACCAAACCATTTTTCCAAAAGCACTGAGTCATTGAGCACCACGTGCACACGTCTGTTTGGTCTTAATCCTGCAATAAGAATGTATTCATGAAAGCGTAACACAATTAACATAATAGATCCATCTTTGTTTGGTCTTGTTCATGTTTCTGCCCCTGTATGTTGTCTTTTTTTATTGTTACATTGTTTATAATTGTGTGTCACCTGCTGATATTTCTGTGTAAGCCCCAAGTGGACTAGAATACTGAAAAACCTCGATCAAACATTTGAAAACTCACCTCCACATGGAGAATAACACCTTTGCACAGGAGCTATTTCTTTGTACCATTTCTATGAGAGGAATAAGGCTGTGGCTCTTATTGTTGACACAGCGCTTTACAATTGTTGTGGGCATTTGGGTCGCTATACAGGAGCGGGGGCATGCCAGATTCTATTCATTCTTTTATAGCTTGTGACAAAGGACTCAACAAAACCCTTGTAATCGCCAACACAGATTAGAGAATCAAACAGTTCATAGAAGTCCATAGTTGACCAATGTCCATGTCCAGTGTTGTTGAACGTTGAGTGTCCAGATCTATTGTACATGTTTTTAGTGGTAGGGGAAACCGCAGCACCCTGAGGAAACCTACGTAGGCAAACTACACAAAGAAAGGTCCTGTAGATGGAATGAAACACAGAGGCTAATAATGTGAATACTGACGATAGTGAGATGTTGTGACAGAAGGAAACACTTTAGAAACATCCCCCTCTGTCTTCACTGTATATTATATATATACATGTACAGCCAAGAGCTTGAGTCTCTTTATAAACTGTGGGGTGCTTTCTTGTTTACACTGCATTCCCCCGAGGACGTTTGTCCTCTGCAACCTGTGAAGTGGATGAAATGCAACAATACAAAATGTACAAGCAAATTATACTGTGCCTGGTTCAAAAAGGGTTTGGATGAAGTAAATGCTTATTCACACATATTATGATATTGTTAAACACACTGTTTTAACAATACCATGCCTTAGAATTCTCAAACATACAACAGCACAGTACAAACAGTGATAAAATACTACCACCGATGGTATAAGACAGACAACACAAAAAACACACACACTCTTTGACAACACACAGGCCCAAACACTCTCTGACCCTACACTTCTCTTCCAGCTCTGTGCTCAAGGCATCACTCTTTCTTCTACATATTTTTAAAAACCGTCTTGTGATCAGGTTTGATGAGTCATTCAACAGCAGCTCCACGCACTGAGACAAAACATTGATTTTAAAGTCGTCCCACATTTAGACACACACAATTTTTCACTTCCTTGTAAGTCTATAATTAAGATGAGCCTCTCTATCCTGGTGTAGGTTCTGTAAGTTAGATGGTTAGAGTGTTCAGATGCAAACGGAGAAAAAAAAGAACAAGGCATGAGTCATAGAATCACTTTTTATTTTCTTTATTGATTTTTGTGGTTGTCATCCTGTAGGAGCATTGAGGAAGTGGGCACACATCTACATGGTCCTTTAAATACACATACACAGGCAAGAGAGGAGGAGGGAGAGGATGGAAACACAAGAGACAGAGGTGAGAGAAAGAGATGAAGAGGACGGGCTGTGCCATACTTCCATCGTCAAAACACATCCGAAAACATTCAGCAAGTTTTGGTCTATTTCTGTATCACTGATCATGTTCTTTTGTACTGTATCTAATTACTCACAGAGATAATACTGAATAACCTAGAGCCATCTTTAAAACCAGTGTCCAGGGACTCTCTCCATGGGTCCCAAGAAAAAAACAGAAATCACATATTCATAGGCCGTGGAAGAAGTGGCCAAAGGAAGCCCAATTGTGACGTCTTGATCCTACCGTGCTGTATATAGACACAAAATACAATGGCGTAACTCCCTAACCCAGCTGAAGCCCATCAGGGATGTGCTCATAGACAAAGTTTTGCTCAGACTCCCATTGACTTACATTGACGTTCTCTATGATCCTGCTGTTTATAATATCATATTGTCTTTGTAGATTTCTCAAGTTTAATATAACATTTTGGCCATCTTCGAGTATTTTCAGCCATTCCACCGGTCCTTTTTATCTATTATAGGCAAGTGTGGAGGAAATTTGAAATAAAAATGATCCAAAATGTAGAAAATAAAGCAGAACACCGAGTAGTATTTCTAAAGTAAACTTGAAAACATAGGATTTTTAACCATTTATTACTGCGTTTTTAAATGTATATAGTAAATAACTGTAAATTCACACTGCTCCTTCTGTGGAGAGTTTTAAGTTTGGTACTGTTTTAACTAGTATTTTATTGTGCAGCACTTTGGGAACTGTGTTTATGAAAAGTGCTATATAAAAAAGTGGATTGGATTGGATATGTGAACACGTTTGGCCCTTGCGCACAGCCCTGGGAGGGAAGAGAAAGAGTAAAAAAGGGGGTGGGTAAACAGACAGATAGAGGATTAGAGGAGGACAAAAGCAGAACGTACACATAAAAACACTTGGTTTCGTCTGAGAGAAGCTCAAAGTTACAGAGCAGAGATTTCTGTCGCTTGAGGTCGCGGTTTCCTCCCTTTTTCTCCCGTTCATCCACACGTACAAATAAAGGTTAATAAATCTTCATTTTTCACCAACATTTTTCACCAGACAGCACCGCACCAGCGTTTGGAACCACAACAACTCGACACATACTTTTAAAAACAGAACCAAAAAGCATGGCGGTCTCATTTTGTTTAGCCATGCTAGCAGCGACGCAGCGCAGTCCGAAAGCCAATGTAGCCGTGTAAAAACAGGTAGCCATATTGTTGTTTTTTTTGTCCATTTTTTTTTTTGCCTGGAATGGAATGGCACTGCCTAAAGCTAGCCACGAGTTAGTGCTGAAAATCCAGTGCAATAACAAACAAATGAATTGTATCTAAGACAATATTAACAAGAAATCGATCGTTCAGAAGCACATAGACAAATGAAAAATCGTTTCACTCTAAATTAGTCAAACATTTGAAAAAAAAAAAAAAAACAGCCATTCTTCGCTTATTTCATATTATTATTAAAGGTCCGATATTCAAGAACGTTTTTTTTACAGAGGAAATTGCAGAAATGAGAAGATATGACGTCCAATTGACCTCAAAAGCACTTTGTAGAGATGGATTAAATAGTTTTGAATTAGCGAGGGGAACGGAAGCGCAGCAGAATATCAGATCTTTAAGGTAAGGTTTTTTTTTTCAATTAAAAAAAAAAAAAAACATACAATCATAAAACCTCCGAAAAGGAACTTTCTAGAAAAAAAGTCCAACAAATTCCCTTTTTAGTCCATTTGTCAGAATCCAGGCTGGGAAGCGGAGATGGCTACGAGGAAAAGGCAAACACAAACTTTGCATCAGATAAAAGATTTGAATCAGAAATATTTAAGAAGTTTCAACAAGTTAAAACTTTTCATCAGAGCAGTTTACGTCCGTCCAACACCACACATTGAGTATAACATGTTTAATAAATCTAATTATTTTCTTAGTCTCATGTTTTTCCAATTATTTGTTTTATTCGTATTATGTGCCAATACCACATTGTTTTATTGTGAAAAGGCCGAGTTTCTGGATTTTGATGAGGAGATATTAGAGAGCTGCTCTGCTCTGAGCCACCTGGACCTTTGAGCGGGTGCTTCAGGCAAAGTGGGGTTATGTGTCTTGCCCAGGGACATAACGACAGCAGACATCAGTGGGACTGGGTCTTGTGTGGGCTTCGAACCCAGTGGAGCTGAAGGCCAGTGCTCTACCAACTGAGCCACTGTCGCCCCACTCACACAATCCAACACCAAACTCAGTCACAGTTTGATCAGATTTAATGAAAATGTAGATTCTTTGAACGTATTTGTCCATATATTTGTTTTTTTTTTAATGGTTGTATTTATTTCCCTTTTAATCTTTACTAACTATGTAGTGTAACAAAAAAATTTTTTGCTGTGAAAATTGAAATGAAAACACTAATCCATTGAACTCTAGCCAATAATGAAATCTTCCCTAGTAGTAGTAGACAGGAGTAAGAACTGTTCAGAGATGTTCAGAGGTGTGCCCCCAGCCGCCGCGGTCCTTCATAAGCCCTGTTTGGCCAGGGCCGCGGTCACGTCCTGGGCCAGGGTGGACAGCTGGGGGGACTCCATGTTGATGCTTCCGGTGGAGAGGCGAGGCGAGGTACTTTCTGTTTCCAGACTGATGATCTCGGCCCCGTGGTCCACGCGAGCTTTGGCCGTCTCCCGGAACATCAGCTTGTGGCTCTCAATCTGCAGAACCGAGCGGAAGATGGGTTTGAGTAAAAGGATTGTACATTTTGATTTTTTAAAAAAACATTATCTTAAGTGCTTTCTGTTGCAACTTATAATGATGTCCAAGCAGGGATTTCTTTTCAGATTGATTCTGTCATCATCAAATGGCCCTTATTTGTCAAAAGGCATTATTAAACCAAGCTCTTTTCCAATACTACTTTATCGGATAACTGTAGTTCCGTCGAGATATTGGAATATCAAAATTAGTTTTATAGCCCCTAAATCTTGTTATTGTCTTAATTTTGATGTCCCGCCCTTCACTGTTTTACCAATCAGAAAGTCTGTGATCCAGGTTGCCAGAACTCACCGCGTCAAGCTAATCTCACTGGTCAAGTAACATATGGCGCAGAACTAAAAAGGTCTCGTTTTGATTCTCAAATCATTAATAACAAAACAAGGAATAAAACCAGGATTTCTATCTTTGTGAAAAAGGTGTTATACTGTAGATTTGTTGACTGGGAGAGATGGCAGTACCACTTTTGGCCAGATTTTAAAATACTGCTGCTTTAAGTATCATCCACATGCAGGAAACTACTCAGAGGACTGAGTTTTTAAAACCAATTTGCAGAAAGCAGAGAATTATTGCTCACAATCCTTGCCCTTTCATGTTTAATATCCACATTCTAACTGTTGTTGCAAACAGCTTCAAAGGCTCTGAGCACATGTGTGACAGAGCACACACAGCTGAGCGTCCAGAGGAGCAGATGAGGCCAGTCTCACGTTACATAAAGAGCAGAATATCTTAACCTTAGAGTCCCATTGCCCAAAGCACAGGTCTACTCCGTCTGATGAGGTCAACATGTGACTCATTTCTATAAACTGCTCAGAATCCAATTGTAAATCCAACTCAAGGCTCTAAAATCAATCTTTGCCATTCATCACATTTACTTTTTAATTCAAGAAGATAGGAAATTGAATTAGGTAGCAACACTGCTAGCAAATTAACTTAAGTAACTATAACTTATCTAATGACAAAATGTGTTTAAAAAGAGTGCGTGCGACAGTCAATTGCAGAAGCAAATCCTGCTCTCTCACCATGATGTTGCCTCCTCCAGGAGTGTGGGTGGCATTGTCCAAAGAACCCACTTTGGGCTGGGCCTTGTCTTTAAAGTCCAGCTTCACACTGTCGATCTTCACCTGCCCTCCACCTGATCACAATCACCGCACAACAATACAGCCACACGACCACAAGTATTTAAACACACAAGCACACACACACCCGCACAAGAGGGAAAGAGGTTTAGCCCCCGGGGGAGTGGAGGTGGGAAAACTGTCAACATCTAAAGAACGGATTTGCTCAAACTTGCAGCACATGGAGATCACCTGGTCTGTGGTGAATGTTGGACATGGATCCACATTTGGACGTCACGTGGCTCAGGTCGATCTTCTTGGTCTGGATTTGAATCTGAGGGAAAATAATAATAACAACATTGAATAAAAGGAATGGAAATAATAGATTTTCCATGAAGACCAAGAGTATCAGACGTTCTGCTAAAAACCTCCAACTTATACCAGTGACTGATCCTGCCTTTCACCCCAGCTCGACTGACGTTTGCATATAAGATAGATCTCATAGACCAACCTTATATTTGATAAATATCCGATATCTAATACATGATATAAATGACATGAACCATACATGAATAAAAACATTAATGAATACTAAATAGAGATTGAAACAGTGGAAATGATTGAGGCTGTAATTTGAGTGATGACAGAATGACACGGATACACAGACTGTAAACAGGCCGCAGAAGATCCAATTAAACTTTATTGTCTGTGTGCAAAACTGTGTGTACTCAGAGCCTGGAATCAGGCCATAAGCTGTTTTACAACCGCCATAAAATCACAATCTGCTGCAGTGAAATAACACCTTATTATTACTGCTCTAGTCTTAGATAAGCAGATACTGAGGTTTGACATTCATATTTACAGTAACATCATGACTGTTGTGCGGCATTTTGTAGGAAAAGTAGACTCAATAGAACAGTAGGATCAATAGAACAGTAGGATCAATAGAACAGTAGGATCAGTAGAACAGTAGGATCAATAGAACAGTAGGATCAGTAGAACAGTAGGATCAATAGAACAGTAGAACAGTAGGATCAATAGAACAGTAGGATCAATAGAACAGTAGGATCAATAGAACAGTAGCCTCAATAGAACAGTAGGATCATTAGGATCAGTAGGAACAGTAGAACAGTAGGATCAATAGAACAGTAGGATCAATAGAACAGTAGGATCAGTAGAACAGTAGGATCAATAGGATCAGTAGGAACAGTAGAACAGTAGGATCAATAGAACAGTAGGATCAATAGAACAGTAGGATCAATAGAACAGTAGGATCAATAGAACAGTAGGATCAATAGAACAGTAGGATCAATAGAACAGTAGGATCAATAGAACAGTAGCCTCAATAGAACAGTAGGATCATTAGGATCAGTAGGAACAGTAGAACAGTAGGAGCAATAGAACAGGAGGATCAGTAGAACAGTAGGATCAATAGGATCAGTAGGAACAGTAGAACAGTAGGATCAGTAGAACAGTAGGATCAATAGGATCAGTAGGAACAGTAGAACAGTAGGATCAATAGAACAGTAGGATCAATAGAACAGGAGGATCAGTAGAACAGTAGGATCAATAGGATCAGTAGGAACAGTAGAACAGTAGGATCAGTAGAACAGTAGGATCAATAGGATCAGTAGGAACAGTAGAACAGTAGGATCAATAGAACAGTAGGATCAATAGAACAGTTGGCTCAATAGAACAGTAGGATCAATAGAACAGTAGGATCAATAGGATCAGTAGGAACAGTAGAACAGTAGGATCAATAGAACAGTAGGATCAATAGAACAGTAGGATCAATAGAACAGTAGGATGAATACAAAAGTAGGATCAGTAGAACAGTAGAACAGTAGGAACAGTAGAACAGTAGAAGAACAGTAGAACAGTAGAAGAACAGTAGAACAATAGAACAGTAGAAGAACAGTAGAACAGTAGAAGAACAGTAGAACAGTAGGATCAATAGGATCAGTAGGAACAGTAGAACAGTAGAAGAACAGTAGAACAGTAGGATCAATAGGATCAGTAGGGACAGTAGAACAGTAGAAGAACAGTAGGGTAAGTGCTTACGTTGCCTCCTCCAGCGAGGTGGTTGACTTTGTCCAGAGAGCCACATTTGGCCTGGACGTGGCTGAAGTCCAGTTTGACACTGGGGATCATCACCTGGACACATAACACACTCGTGTTAGAACTATCACATAACATTGATCCATTTTCACCTCAATGTTAATTTTAAAGTGGACTTTTAAGATATGACCATAGCAATTACCACATATAATTCAAAAATGTAAATATAAATACATGTGGTGGTATTGGTACGTACCTGCATCCGTATCACACTACAGAGCAAACGTGACTTTAAAAATACAGTAGTATAGAGTCATGCAAAGAGTTTATTTATTTTTATTCTATTCTTACCGCAACTCATCACCTCTAAATGTATGTGCTGATGTCATGATAGTCATTTTTGTAGTCCACCACATTTGAAGTCTGCACAAAAAGCTGTTTTGCACCCATAGTGTGAAGACAATTCCATTTTAAAAAGTAGAACAGGCCAATCCTGGGATGACATCACCCTGGGGCGACACCAAACTCAACCAAAGTTTGTGAACATTTAAACTTGGGGTGCCTACTGTTTTTGTTTGACTAATAACCCATGTTTTAGAGCTGTGTGGAAGTCCTTCAGACTCCAACATGCTGTATTTATGTTATATTTTGCTCAGTTTTTGGGCTGAGACTTGAGTGAGAATGTTCCTTTCTTTCATCACTTTTCTGTCTTTCATTGATGACCTAAAAATACATCATATAAATATAGAACCAGACTGTTTAGAGAGCGAGGGATGACATCATTCTATTTGCTGTTGTTTAACCCTTTCAGGCCCAGACAGACAGACACAGACAGAGGCAGGAGGGAATGTTTTAGCTTATGAAGTCACCAAACGCAGGCAGAGACAGGGACAGTACATACGTTGCCTCCTTTGGGCGAGTGCTTGACGTTCTCCATGGAGCCGCACTTTGACTGCACACGACTGAAGTCCAGCCGCTCGCTTAAAATGTGCACCTAAAGACAAAAACCGCAAAAAAACCAAAAGAACAAAGCAACTAAAATCTATATGTGCTGCGTGTCCCAAATATAGTTAGAAAAAAGAGAGGGGACGTCATCTTGTCCGAACCATAGACAATAATAAATGGTTTGAATGCTGATGGGATGGGGGTGACCTATGGTGTTGTCATGGTAACATGTTTATTTCCATTCTGACACCTGAACATGCATTATCTGGTTCCGTATCCTAGCCTATATATGGCAGCTAGAACACTTTAGTACCAACTTGGCCTGGATGGAACCGGGGCAGGTATTAAAACAGTACCAGGCACCGGGTAAACAGGGCCGGTGGAAACATTCCCAAAAAGTCCAAGTCATTTTAGTACTATTAGTTTTATTCCTGGATAGTAATTTTAATACAGAAAACACTTTTTGGGCTATTCAACTTTGCATTAATTTACATAAAATAAAGACAGAAAAAAACATGAAACTAAACTAATGTAAAATGTGTAAATAGAATATCTCAAGTAAAATGTAGAAAACAAATCACTTAAAAATTATACAACCAATTATGTAATGTGAATCTATGAATCTACGGCACATAGATTAGTATGTAGTATACTGTAGTATATGTTTTCATTTTCCAAAGCCAAATTTGACCTATTTTGTATGAATCTCGACTAAATAGTTACTATTAGTGATTAGTTATTCAAAGAGTGATTAATGTTAGTTCTATTCGTCCGAGTGCAGCAGTGACCACAGTCCAATCTGGCCTATTTTATCCAAAGACATGACATCACTATTGAGCGTGTTGCCATAGTAACAGTCTACCGGCTCGTCCGAAAGTCTTCATCACACATTCTCTCCGCAGAAGAAAACCCCACTCATGGCCGACGCCGTGATGAACGGTATTGTCAAAGGAAACCTGTCTAAATTATGTTTTATTCACATTTCTCGCTAATATCGCCACTACTCATTATTTTGGTCAACAGAAAAATCACACATGTGCTCGACGCGGTTACAAGTTGCGTTTCTAAATGAGTAATTCTTCTTTAATTATTTATATAGGAGAATCCCATGGATGTAGGACCCCCGGGCGCCAGCGGAGGCTCGGGTTATTTTAGAAACAGGATGGAGGAAGCGATGAAGAGGCAGGTGGAAAGCAGACGAGACACAGAAAATGCAGCCACATTGAAAAACATAAAAACGGAGATGTAGCAAAGCACAGTCATGATCCCACAAACACACATCCTGTTGTTCATACGTCCAGCTGCATTTGATGATCTGTAACTGACTAAATTCTATTCATCTCAATGTTTAAGCATATAATTTTGGCCTGTAGTGTTCTAAAAAAAAATACCCAAAAGGACAAGAGCATGTGTGAAGGTTAAAAAGGGGCCTGTTTAAATCCTGTGAGGAGTTGGTGCCCTCTTGTGGCAAGTTTAAATGTAAAATATAAAACGCAGTGAAATTGGCTTTTTTCAGACACACAAATTTAAACACATTGTATTTTCTTACATTCATATGCCGCGTAGGGTAGAATACTTTGATAATGTGGTTCGTTCCAGAATACTGAATACATGACCTAAAATGTATTTTGTACAGTATTCCGTTACTTTGGACCTGTACATGTGTTCCGAGAATACTTTTACTAATACTTTTATTTCTTTTTTTTTTGCATTATTTATATTTGTTGTAAATTCATGTTTATATAAAATGTGAACTAACATTTAATTAGATAGATAGATAGATACTTTATTCATCCCGTGGGAGAAATTCAGGTGTCACTACAGCAGTTATAGTTATAGTTCAATATATACTGTATACATTTTTTTTTAAACTAGCTCTCTTCCAATACATATCCTGTTGATATTTGGCCCAGTTGTGATTAAACCTAAACTTACTCCAAAATCATGTCAAATACAGTGAATTTAAACAAAACAAATTAAAAAAGATTAAACCATTTATGTACTTCTGGCCCAGCTTATGTTTTTGAATTTGGCCCCCAACCAAAATGAGTTTGAGACCCCTGATTAGACCATTAGGGGGGGGACTGTTTGAGCCAGAACTTTTCAAAAAAGGCCATTTTGATGTTCCATATCAACTGGTCCCATGTGAGTAACTCTCCCAGCCTGCATGGTCTTACCTGTCCTCCTTTGGGCTGGTGCTTGAGGTTGGCCGTGGAGCCCACCTTGGAGCGCACGTTCTTCACATCGGGCAGGGGCTGGTTGATGACCTTGAGCTGCCGCTGGACCGAGGACGGGGACTTGGGAGGGGTGCGTATGACGGCCACCTTCTTCTCCTGGAGCACGCTGAAGGACTTGGGCGTGTGGCTGCCCGGGGTCCGAGAGCCTGGGGTGCGGCACGAGTAGTTAGGCGGGGTGCCCGGGGTGACCGCCGTGGGGGTGGAGGTGCCACTGCGGGCCGAGCGGGAGCGGCTGGACTCGGTGCCTGGAGACAGAAGGAGAGAGGAGGTGGGGGGAAGACCAGAGTGACTTTAGGCTTTTATACAGTCCTAGGTCCTCTATGAGTGGACTTTGCATGTTCTCCCTGTGTCTGCTCCGGTTTTGCTCTGGGCGCACCGGTTTCCCCTACCACTAATAACACGAGCAATAGGCAAAAACCTTCCAGCTCTGGCCCTGACTAACCCGAGCCTCAACATTTGGAGATGGGTTCCTGAGCGACCACTGCTTCTGATAGAAGCCCTAGCGGCAATGAAGGATGGGTCAAATGCAGTGGACACATTTCCTATGGGTACAAAAAAGCACAATTTAAGTTATAACATAAGTAACAAGATTTCAAACAGTCTATGTTCTTGCTATCTGAATTACAGGCCGTAATGTTCCCAAACAGTTCAACAAAACTAGTTTGCATAGATAGATAATGCTAACCGCTAGCTCAATAATGCTAACCGCTAGCTCAATGAATTCCAAAAGCGAAGTTCCATCCATCCATCCATCTTCTACCCTTTAATCAATTTCTGGGTCAGGGGGTTGGCAATCAGAGATGCCACCCAACTCTCATAGCACCAGCCATGTGCTGGTGCTATGAGAGTTCCAAGTTCTCGTAAACAAATGTTTGCTCCATAGACTGTTTGCTCATACTCGCTCTAGCTCCGGTACATTGAACAATAAACTCTCGGTCAGTCGCCGTTTAGGTCACACTCACAATTTAGCACTCTCTATGATTCTGGTGTTTATATTTTGATAATTTCTTTGAAAATCCAGACATGAGCCACAGAAGGTTTGAACAATCAGCTGTCTTTATTTGCCGGGGGGGACTTATATGATCAGATATCCTGATGTATCCTGCAGAGCAAATACTCAGGTTACAGACAACCACAACCAGGCGGACTGGACCAGAGACCAGAGACCAGAGACCAGAGACCAGAGACCAGACCAGAGACCAGAGACCAGAGACCAGACACCAGAGGGGAACCTGTGGAAGGAGCTGTTGTTGTTTTGGTCTAATGTGATGAAGTGAGGAGAGAGGACTACTACTACTGCGACTACAACTAATACTATAACTATGAGCACTACAGTGATCAGTGTTGGGTATAACACTGTTACGGGCTAGGCCTTATGGGGGGCCTGGGCCTTTTCCTGTGTCTCTGTCCTGCCGCTCCTGTCTCCTGTGTGCACAGGGGGACCAGTTGGCGCTGAAGCAGTGGGCGTGTTCGCGCACGCAATCAGCGCACGCGCATATAGCCTGGAGGATAGGTGCACGCGCTCTCTCTGCGCGCTCCTGAGGGCCATTCCACTCCTGCCCTGGTGCCTGTTGCATCTCCTCCCTGGCTCTCCTTCAACATGCACTATTGAGTTTGTCTTTTGGTTTATGCACCTACATTCATATCGCACATACGGCGCCCTCACTGCACAACAAGCATTACCTGCACCTACACCACTGACTTCTACATAACACACCCCATATTTACCTTTTTGTATATATTAATATTTTTTATTCCGTTCTCCCAATTAAATATACTTTTGAGCACTTTAATTCCGCCTCGTCTCCCCTATTCTTGTTGTGGCTCAGAGCCAAGCCATAACAGAATTGGCTTAACAGAATATACAATTCTTATTATTTCAAAATGGCTAACAGGTCGCTTTGTCTGCAATGTGTATTGGGACTATTTAGCCAAGGGGTCATGTGGCTCGTGGGCCTTTCAAAATATATGTTTTGTCTCCCGAGTGAACATCAAAGTTAAATGTCTCTTACCATCGGATCCTTTCAACCAGTTCTGTAAACCAACATTTCTTTGAGATTTGTCTGTTCAAGTTATACAAGAGTGTATCCATGCTGGACCTGTTCATGCATGTTTTTTTAGAGATACATTCTTGTTTAGAGGCCTGTCTATAATAACCATTTTGCAAATGAAACTACTAAATAACAACTACTTGAAAAACTAACATTGTCTGTTATGTATGTATTATGTTTTATATACCCAACACTGTGCACAGAGTAAAAGGCAGGATGGAGATGGGGAGAATGCGATGGCTCTACTTGGTTCTACCGGGCTTCTACCTGTTGCACTAGAGCCTCTGGTGGAGCTGGACCCTCTGCAGTCTGTGCGGAAGGCTTCGTAGGGGAGGAGGTAGAAAGCAGGAATGTATATATATATAAAAGCACATTAGTAGAATAATTCCCTTTCCCCCTAGTTCTTAGTGCTAACCATAGAGCAATATCAAGGACTATAGAAAAAAATCAGACTCAGAAAATGTATTAATTATATTTTTTTGTCACGTTCTGTCTGGTTTGAGAAAAATATAGTGGCATCAATAAAATTCATATATGTCTATTGATGCCACATAGTACTAAACATATCTTTAAAGAATAATATTTCTTAATTTAGATTGGAATATTATATAATTTATCATCTACAATGGGTTATATAATTCAACATTTTAGTCTGGACAAGAAAGAATAAACAAAAATAATTCAGAAAACATATACTAATATTGTAACCATTTAATAATAGTGAGATATAGATTTTGACTGAAGAGGTCGAACTGAATTTAACACAATTAATAATAAATCTAAATTAATATTCCAGATCATGTGAAAGTTGTGGGTAGATGTAATCTCACAGGTTGGCCTGCTGGGGGTGCTGTCGTCCTGCTCTGAGGCCGGGATGTGCCTGGTCAGAGACTTGGCTGGTCTGGGCAGGGAGGACCGCTTCTCTGGACTCCGATATGTTCTCTCCTGGGAACATGAAGAAGCCAGTTATCATTTGCCAACTCGATTTTAGCAAAAGTGTGTGTTGAATCCTTTATCCGTAGAGCTGAATCAAGTAAACAATCCATGCTGCAGTGTTAGTTATTGTCAAGATGAAGATAGGAATTGTAATGGTAATGTAGAAGTTAAAATGTATGAATCAGGGACATCAAAACTGCATTTATAAACCTAGTGGTGTAATCTTGAAGGTGGGCGATAGCTGGAGGCAGAAAGAGCTGAGGAGTTTAACTAAAGTGAGCCTCTTTATCGAATCAAAACGCAGCCAAAATCTACCATGGTTGTCACTGTTTCAACCTCTCTCTTTGTGGGCCTCCCCAAGCTTTATTCCCCCCACTGGATTATTACATTTTTAATGTCTGTGATCCAGGACACACCTTAAGCTGTAAATGTCCTACATTTGATATTACAATACTCTCCAATAAAAGTTTCCTATAAAAAGCCACTAAATTATGGCACTTTTTGTGACTTCTGCCCCATGACATACAGCAAAGAGATGTCACCTCATCTGCCTAAGACTGAGAAAAACTTTATTGATCCACAAGGAAAACATTTGCCACAGTGATCATCAAAAATAAGTTATAGTTGTTAAAACTGTTAAAGGAACCTCCCTTTTATTCTGCTTAAGTGTGACATAGGACTGTAAACCTCCAGCTACCTCCACCTACACTACAACCCCTGTTACCTCAACTCCCCGCTGGTTAGCACGAGTTATCGGGGAGCAGGCAGAGGTGGGGCGAGCCTGGTTTAACCCCGCCTCCAGACGAGGGTCGCTGCGGAGGGAGCCCGCAGAGAACGGGCGACCTGCCCTAGCCTGCTCCTGCGCCCGCCTCTGCACGGCCATCTTCAGCAGGACAGCACGAGTGGGGCTCTGGACCCAGGTCCACATCAGGCAGAGATGCATGCAGGGGACAGGCAGGAGGTGCAAAGGGAAAGGACATGGACAAGCGTGGAACAATGAGATGGCACAAATGAGATGAGCCCACAAACCCTTTCAGGAGCGAGGTGTCCCGTCAACTGAATTATTTTTAACTTAAAGTTGTGGTAGCCAACTATAAATCCACAACATTATGTACTACTCTTACTCTAGTTGGCCCTTGTCACCGTTTTTGATATACTAAGATATGAAAGTGGAAAAGAGAGGACCAGCCAAGCTCTCTGCCCAAAGAATCAAATAGTGACTTGCCTTCATACAAGTTTACCTACTCCTAGCGTAAGTAAACTTCTGGTTTCATCTGAGGCAGAGGAAACATTACTGAAAATGTCGACACAAGCAAAAGTTGTTGCATCAAGAATGTACTTTACAGTGCACTATGCAACTTTTTTGATTGGGGTCTGCTTGGCACCATGAAAATGTTTGCACTTTGTTTAGAATGTACCGCACTATAGTCACTGAAATAGGTAACTCCAGGTGTTTTTAATTAGAAATATTACCTACATAAAAAAATCAAAAGGGTCTATGAAAAAGAGAAAACCAAGTGTGAGTAGGTTTTTTTATAATGAAAATGCAAACGGCCTGATAGTATCTGTAGCAAGTAACAATCAACATATTTGGTGTTTCGATTTGAAATATTTGTTGCTTGTCTATGAGGTTAAAATGTAGCTTTCTCTGGAACTTTCTCACAATATACATACATTTTGTAAAGGATTCTGACCCACGTGTGTAACATACTTACTGGTTTTCTCTGAATCTGACAAAGACAAATGCAAGCATGCAAGAAAGATGGACAAGGGAAATATGATTCAAAGCAGCATGCAGAATGGGGGTGTCTCAGAACTGTTGATCTAAGAGCTGAAGGAACTTACCGTTGTCCTTTCTCTTGACTGATGTGCCACACTCAGGGGCTGGTGGCTCTCCATTCCTGGAAGATAAACATTTAAGCTTGTGACCTACAAACCAACAGCAGCAGAAAATAAATTTGCTACGAGAAAAGTCCATTAAAACGAACATTGACAACACACAACTTTGAAAGATAGGGCGAGAAACATCAAAGATAGCCCCAAAAACATTGAGAGGACCAGAAAGTAAGAGGGTTATGTAGATTTAAGTTTTTTGCGAAGTGAATGATGTTGCCAGCTACATTGCATCACACATCCACAGCAATCAATAGAGAAAGTCCATTAAAAATGCATCTACGTTTCATTGTGTGTCCCAAGAAGTAAGCTACAAAGCCTTTCTCTATCCATAGCTTTGGATCCTGGGCAGAATGGATCACCTGGGGCCTTGCGTCTAGCAGAGGGCCTCGGATGTCGGGTCGCTGCTTTGCCTGCGTTCTTTCGCGATGGCGAGTAACAGCGGAGGACCGACAACCTATTCTGTTCAGCTTTCCTTATCCCAACTATTAGAAAAACAGAAATCAACAACCAAATGCATTGCACAGTTCACAAAAGATTACACATATAAAACAACTTCACAACCTTTATTCTTCTTGATTTCTTCTTTGGAAACGTGACTAGCAGCTTTGCGATTGGCTCGACTCTCCGCGTGGCAAGGTGGACCACGTACTTTGCTAGAGGTACGTTTGCTGGAGGTATGTTTGCTAGTTTTGTCGACCGGGCGAGGGCTGCTTGTGCCTTCGACTTTTGGAAGTTCTTCAATTTGTTCAGAGACAATGCTTTTGTCCTCATCTGCAGTGGAGACAGTAACAATAGAATTGCTAACCTCTCCAATTAAATACCTTGGACAAGATAAACGTAACAATCGTATGTACCTTGAGTGTCCATCCATCCGCTGTCTGTGTCGAGTATGGAGGCATCTAGTGCTGTTTCTTCTACAGTTGGTTGGTCAAAGATATCTTCCATGTTCTCTGCAACTTTAATTTCTTGGGGGATATCTGTTGTCTGGCATTTAGCGTCATCAACAAGATCTTTGTTTTCATTTTTGTTTGTGCACTGTGGTTCTTTAATGTCCTCTTTTTCCTGTTCTCCAACCTTGCAACCTTCTTCCAGTTGCAGTTGTACATCAGGATCTGAACAAGGGGAGAGATGTGAGCTGTCTGTAGCTGGTTCAGCGTCATCACTGTTGATTCCACTATGGCTCCATTCTTCTGCTCCTGACCTGGGATCATCTTCTACCACCTGATCTTCCACTAGAAGCAAAACAGGCTCTCTTTGCTTTATTTCATCTCTTTCGTCTTTCTCTGGCTTACTTGGTTCGGAGGGCGCTACATGTTCAATTTCCTCAATTATTTCTGATGGTTCCTCTGCAATTTCAACATCGTCTTCCTCTGCCTCTTCCACTTGCGAGGCTTGAGGTATAATGATAACAGGGGAAGTGCTTCGTACGTGAGTCGTTTCTTGAGGAGTCATCTCCACAGTCTTCAGACAATCTTGCCTTGTTGGTTCATTTTTTATTTCTTTGAGGGTCAAATTAGATTGCAAAGCAAAAGTATCATCCCCGGTTGAGTCTTGCTCCTTTGGCTGTGGTGTCACGCAACTTAAAACGTCTACATTTGGTGACTTCGGTGAAGTGGGAGTACGAGGAGATCTGCAACCTGTTTCGGCCAAGCTAAATGTAAAGGAGTTGTCAGGTGGTATGGGCGAGGCCTCTCTTGAAGGATCCTTTTCAATGTCCACCTCTGGAATAGATTGGATCATTATATCACCAGGGGGGCCGCCATCAAGATGGAGGTCCTTGGAGGAAGAAACCGGAATTTTGAGGCGATCTGGCTTTAATCCACTCGGAACTGCTTTCTCAAGGATTAGAGACATCTTGCCTGGTGAGTCTTTCCTCTCCAAAATTGGACGCTGTAAAATTTCTGGTAGTACTACTTTTTGATCCTGTTGGGTGGTCTTTTGAACTTCTTCAGAAACTCCATGGTCTTCACTCCCTTCACTTTCAACTGATGGGAATGTTCGGTGTGACGATTCATCAGGACTTGGTAAATCCGCTGGGGAAGGCATTGGACCAGCGTACTCACTGAAATTACAATATCCTAGATCTTCTAAAGGACTTTCTCCGCCAACAGTTCGCTGATCACCTGTAGAAAAGTTGTCCAAAGTCTTTCCATCTAGTGATGGCATCGCAGCTACAGACTTTCTCCTAATATGCTCTTCTCTCTTCTCCAAAGACAATCTCGGCAGTGCTCCAGCAAGGTCCATCATTTCAGAGAGGCTATCTGACTGTTTAAGCATCAACGTACGTTTCTCAAATGAGGCGGTCTCCTCAGAAGAGTCAGGAAAAGTTGGGGTTACCGATACAGAAGGAGGGAATGACGCTGGAAGAGTTTTGACAAACGGTGTTGGCGGGTGAATGATCTCTAGGTTTGAAGGACACAAACCTTCTGAGGACATAGGTAACATCTGTTCCTCTTGTGCGGTGGACTCAACTGTGACGCTAAGTTGTGACTTGCTTGCATTAGCTTCAGTTGTGAGCTCGTAATAGCTAGAAGAATCTTCCTTGAACGTTGTTTCAAAGTAGCATTTGGGATGCATGTCTTGTTTTTTAGCTTCTTTAACTGGTTCAGGACTAGATGTTTCTGGTCTTACGTCATCATCAGGATATTTGTTTTCCCCGGATATTACCGTTTCTTCCACATTTGAGACTTCTGCTTCTTCCTGCATCATTAACTGATCCATTTGTAATTCCAAGTTATCATCCTTGCATGTTGTCGCTTCTTCTTGACTTGAAGATTCAGCAGGAACCCCACCTGTATCTTCTGGCACTTCCTTTTTGGGTATTTCCATCGGGTCTTTGTCCTCTTTGGTGGGTTCTTCAGCTTCTGTTTTGAGAACTTCATCAGGATGGGCTGTGAGTTTGAAGAGTTTGAAGTTTCACTCGCGTTTTCTCAAAAGCGGCAGCATCCAACATAAGCCAGCCATACAGTCACGCCTCGGCCGTCCGCACACAGATACTCTCCCATAAGCACAAAACAGCACAGGGAGGGGCCATAGCACCTGGAACCACGTGCAGAACTGCAATGAGGAGATGGAGAGCTTGATGTTGGGTGGAAATACACACAATGATTTCCTATTGTGAAAGAATTCTCAACAGTAAAGGATTGTTATGTAGGCACAATTTGATGAATTTTGAAGGTCAAAAATTAAACAAAAAAATCCAACCCTATTTTATTTATTGGATACAGACTCTTCATCTCCAAGTTGTGTAACATTGTGATGAATAGATGTATTTTTTTATGTTTATGTAGATTTTAATGTTTATGATTTATGCCTGATGTGATATGGGTTGTAAGGCGCTTTGTATGGCCTTGTGTAGAAATGGCGTCCTACAAATAAAAGTTGATTGAATGTGAATAATTGAGGAATAAGTTAAAGACCAATTGAAGAAGAAACAGTCAAGAAATGGTACAGTATTTACAATATGTTTGATATAAGAAGATTCAAAAATTGACAGCAAAAAAATTGTAAAAAAACCTACTCCCAGACAGTTCAATTTGATTTTCTGTTGGATTACCTTTAGACCAGTTACATATTAACAATAGGAAATGAACACAATAAATATGAATTATGATGAGACAATACAGTTGAGTGGTATCAAAAATCACCACCCACCTGTATGTACTGAAAATAAACTTTCACTCAATACTTCAACAAAAATATACAGAGCGAATACTGACAATACTACTTCTAGCAAGACTCAAAGCTTTCAGACAATTCCAACACTGAAATTTGCAATGTAGCTGGCAAAACATCAACAGCGGCAGATCAACATCAACAGGGGTAAAGTTGATCTGGTGTTCTGCGCGTTACAATGAGAAGCAAATGAGTGGTGTTTTAAAAAGACAAAAGCACAGAAATCAGAGCGGTGTAGACTCCTGCGAAGCAAAAGCTGGAGAGAAGCGTGGGACCAGAGCAGAGCGCTAAAGCAATTCTTTCAGAGATCACTTTTAGTGCTTAACGTGGCCATGCACATGTTTGGAGTATCCACATCATGTAGAATGCCTTTTGGATTTTGGAAAGTAGTTCAAAAGCTGGGTAAGACATGCCTTTCCACAGAAGAAACGATAGATAAACAAAGAATAGGACCTGTAATGTGCATTTTATTTATTATCTTAAAGCATTTGAACTAGGCCTTCTATTCTACTCTTCTTTGTTGGTGCAAATTGCAGTCGTGTAGTTGTTTATTAGTGACACAGATTTGATCTCTTATCTCTTAAATAGATTAAATAAATCAAAGAGTATATAAATTATTGTTTGAATTGGATACAACATCCCTAATTGTTTCATCAAATAAATTACCGTTGGATGGGGCAACCCTGAACAAGAGTAAATCTCTTGAGATTCACTCAGATACAGATCTTTGCATTTGATTCATTTGTGGATTCCTCTGGTCTTTAGGGGAACCCTTCGTCCCACACACACACACACACCTTGATGACTTCCACCATTCTGAAACTGCGGGGCCTCTGCCTGTGTGTGGGTCAGACCAGAGGAGGCTTCTTCTCGGGGAGAGTGGAGGTCTATGTCCGCAGAGAAGCAAACCCCAGTTTTCTCCGCTATGGATGTAAAGGGGGGTGAGGGGCGAGGATGGAGATGGAGGACAACATGGTCAACGTTATGACATGGAATGATCTATGGTTTTCAAATAAAACAAACAAACAAAACAAATAAAATGCTGGAGAAAAAGTGACATATACTTTGTCACACACACACACGCACATAGGTATATATGTATATATATATATATATATATATATATATATATATATATCATTATATATATATATATATATATATATATATATATATATATATATATATATATAATCAAGTGTATAGATGCTAAATACTAATCCTAAAAAGACAGGTTCAATTGAAATGTATTGAAATATATACACATAGTTAACACAATTATTCAGGCTTAATAACTATATAGCAAAAAACAAATAAGCACTTAACAAATAGACATGAGCTATTCCTAATTATTAGATTCGTAATCATTATTGATTACGCCGCTCAAAATTTATTTGTGTTTCGTAGCGACACACCTACACCTAAAATGTATATTATGATTAGGTTGAATTAATTTAAGTAAAGTAGTAAAGCACAAAGAAAAACAAAACAACCATATTGAACAATTTGATAATTAATAATTATTCTGTCTATTAAACTATTTCCATGGAACCCAAACCTCACTCCGAATTACTAACCATAACTAATTTAATGTAAAACTGAATTGCATCTAAATCTGTTTTCAGTTTGCACATTATGCTAAAAGTACACAATTTGCTAACAATAATATTCCCAAACTTATCAGGACCATTGTCAGCAGTTTTATCTGAGAGTCTCTTGTTAGTGATGGGAGACTGGATGCAGGACGGAACAGTGACTTCAGGAATGTGTGGCAATGTCAACAAATCAATGATCAGCTGATGAAAGAAAGGGAGGAAGTATAGAGGAGACCGTAGAGGAGAGATGGAGAGGATCCTGTGGCTGCTAGAAACGGCCCATCTCTGAACTGCTATTTATACTTTTATACCTGTACACTCCCCTAAAAAATATTATTAAATAGCAAGTAATAACTGCCAACAAAATATTAAACATAATAGATTAAAATGGCGGTTTTAAAATCTACCTTGAGCCTCAAAGTTTGAATGTTGTTGTTGTTGTTCCTGCGCAAGAGTGGCTTATAAAGTAAGATATCAAAATGTCATCTTTTCAATGCTCCTGTTGTCAAAATGGAATAACAGTAAACTTCTCATTACATCAACTAATACTGTAAACGATGAAAGAGTATGAGAGTCACGTAACATTATCATAACAGAGAAATAATAATAATACTATATATATTATATGTCCCTAATATGTCAAAAGCCATTAATTAAACCATGCTTTTATTCTTTAACTGATAACTGTATTTCAGCCGAGATATTATACATTTAAAATTAGTTTTACAGCCCCTAAATCTTGTTAGTGTTTTTGCTTCGATGTCCTGCCCTCCACTGTTTTACGAATCAGAAAATCTGTGATCAGGGTTGCAAGAACTCACTGCAACCCAACTTTGTGAAAAAGGTATTGGTTATAGATTTGTTGTTGACAAAGCTCTTGTCTATTCAGATATTATGGTCCCAGCTGGATTCGTCTGAATATCTGGCAACCTGAGTCAGGGAGATAGAGTGAGAGGTTGCAGTACCACTTTTGGCCAAATTTTACATACTGCTCCTTTAACTGTAGGAGCTTTAATAACCTCCAACTTTTAACTGTAAAGAACCAAGTTTATTTTATAAAGTCACCTGAAATTGGGAGGAATATAACATTTTCTTTTTTTTTTACCATTTCCTTGATAATTTGATGTCATGTTATGGGACAAAATATTTGAGAAAGTCCCAGTAATTGAATGTTATCGGGAATTATAACTTGGAATTGGATAAAAACACTGACCTCCGAAACTATTTTGAATGTAAATAATAATTAGTGGACGTGATTTTGAGGTGAAAAACATGCATCAGGTCTGTGCGAGCTTAGGCACCATCCGCAGCCACACTCGGCGTCCCGGTGAAAGCGTGCCGGTCTGGGACAGGTGCAGGGAGGCGGGGCGTACCTTGTGCTGAGGCCCCGCCCCTCTCGGCCGACGGGGATGGGGGAGGAGAGGGGGGCAGGTTGGCCGACTCGTCCACTGTGAAGGGGAGAAAGAGAGGGAGGGGACAGCAAGGGAGACAGGGCATGGATGAACAGGACAGACACAACTCTATGATTTTACTCCACTTTTCCAGTGCAAAAGTTAGTGCAAAAATACATGAGTTAAATGGTCTTGGATTTAGAATTGTACTTATGATTAATAATTCTAGTACTTTTGGAGAAGAAATCAAGTCATGTCCAAACGATGACAATCCAAGTGACTCATGTACAGATGATACTTTTGCAGCGTGATTTGGACGTTGGAGATTGATAGACATGTTTCATTTTGCATATTTGTAAAGTGAGATATTGCAAAATGACCAGACTTACAGACTGTGCAGACATGGTGACATTAAACATTGTATGGTTCCCCACAACAGCAAAACCAAACCTGATAAAGAGCTGGAGAGCTCCAACATATCTGAGAGCGAACAGTTTGTAAGAAAGGGCAACGTGGTGTTCGTAAGAAACCACTTTTACAGTCATATCTAATAGATAGTAAGGCTGTATGGAACTTAACACTGAAATGATAGTAAATAATAATAACCAATCACACACGCACACGCACACACACACACCAGACACATTCTAGGTAATGTGGGGGAAGTGTCTTGCATAATGACAATATGGCAGTTTGGCACTTAATAGCCGTCCCACTGTAGCAGCTGGTGTTCCTAGAGGTCTCCCATCACAGCACTAATCAGGCCCTGCCCTGCACAGCTTCAGATATCTGACGTATAGCCTGATCTGAGAGTATAGCCACCAAGCGTCATTATTTTATATGGGGCTGCAACTTCGGAATGTCATGGAACAATGACACTTTACTTATCTACTTATTATCCTGCCCTATAAGTACAGTATATAACTCTGCACAACTAAATATATATATGTTTTGACTGGTATTGAAGCATTCACAGCATCTACAGCTAGTTAAGAAACATAGCTACTGCTTATTTAGTACTTTGCATATTTTGTGTGCTCCCTGTGTGCTCTTACTACTGTCCTGTCTGTGCGCTGCAACATCAAAATTTCCCCACTGTGGGACGAATAAAGGAACTCTTATCTTAACAAAACATGTGATGGACCGAGTCTAATGTATTTTGATCAAATAAATACAATAAATCTTCCCCCATTGGCTAGCAAAGTAAAACAGAAAATTTGAGATTCTGAGACAAACATGTTACTGCTGACCTGTGGGTGGTCCCGTGGCTCCAGCTGCATGGTACCCGTTCTCCTTGTAGGCGGTGCTGTAGGAGAACCCGTTGTGGCCGTTCTCCTGACTGTTGGAGGCCCAATGCTCCTGACCGTCTGCCATGACCGGGGGAAGGGCTCACCTGGGCACATACAGGAGGACACTGAGGATAGCAGCGTGGGAAGATTAAAGCTGGGTTACGCAACTTCCTGATGATCGAAATACATTGTTTAGTAAATGAACATTTTGTGAAGGTCTCTTTGGGTCAGCTCCAAACTGTCTTAATCTGTCACAATTTGTCTCTTTAGGTTCATGGATGTAGAGTTGTGCTGTTTGAGAGCCAGGTACCCTCGATTTAAACGATTATCTTTACAAAATCGAGTTGCCACAATTGTATTAGTGATATTGGCATATTGTGCAAAATGTACTTTTAAGGGTTATTAATCATGTTGTGTTGTTGTTTCTTCTGTAATCATCTCTAAAGGTATAGGCTCCAAACAATAAAATAAATAAAATAAATACATCTATATTTATTCTCAACTCTTATGATAAACGCACAGTGATCTTTACTTTGATTTTTTGTTTTCAAAATCTCTAACACACAAATAATGATTTGACAGCGCTTCACAGAAAAGTGTTTGTTTGATTTATAGTATTTAATGTATATATTTTAAAAACTGTCACTACGAGTATAATATATAGTAAACACAGTGTTAAGCCATCACAGTAAACGTGAATAATTATTCTTTTAACTCTTCCCGATATTGAAATAAGCACATGCACATATTCAGACACTAGGGGGCGCATGTAGTCAGGTAATGACCACACGCGATCAGGCTTTGTCTCTGTCTCCACGTGCTCTATTAAAGGAATCAGTTTGACCATTTAAATTGAAATATCACTCAAAATAAAAACACAACATATATTTGTATAGCACATATAGTGTACAAGGCATTTCAAAGTCCTCCACAAGAGAAACTATGATAGCTCGCATTCATTAAAAACAACAAATAATATAAAAAACAACACATGAGGGTAAAAAAGTATGGTTTTGAATGATTTGAAGTGGCTATTTGAGTAGATCTCTGGAATTTGAGACTGCTGGACACACCCATCACTCTGCTATTGAAGCTGCATTAAGAGGCGGTTACCATAGCAACCAGAGCAGGGCTGACCAGACCTATGTCCGGGGCCGATCTGTACCAGGACTCACATGTAAGAAGACGCACAGATGAAGTAGAGACCACTACCACTACTACTACTACTGCTACAAACATGATTACTGCTACTAATACTACTACTACAAAGATAATGGGATGAGAAATGTTATTGTCCCCAAATGATAATTACTGTGAAATATAGGGCAACGCAAAATACAAATAAAAAAATAGTGCATTGTTACAGACCAAAGGCCCACGATGCTCAGAGTTCAGGCATTGATTCATTCTCTCCACGCGGTGATGACGGAAGCGAGACGCCGAACACACTGGAGCATTAAGGTATTTTTAGTAAATAAATCTTACCAGGATTTTTCTTTTTTCAGTGTAACATGTGCTTTGTGTGGACATGATCTAATAATGTGGAGATAGGCGGTACAACTCCAATTCTCTGATTGAAAACATGTGTCAGTCTCGAATTTATGTGAAAATTGGTTGAGATGTTATTTTGTCCCATTTGTGGTGAAAATGTCCACGCTCCTAGGACCTGCCATGGCTTTTTGCTTTTGTTCCTGGAAGTGATTATTCTTTAATTAGCAGGAGATAATTCGATCATTACTTCAGCAGCTTGCATGCCACTTCCCCTCTCAGCCATGATCCCCGTTACAGCTCAACTCTATTCCCACACAAGTGCAGTTTTCAGTCCATGAATTAAGCAAGTAATGTTTATTTATGTAGCGTATTTTTGCAGACCATGGTGATCTAAAGCTGTTTACAATGTTCAGAGTTCAAATATTGCCTCATTCTCTTTCATTAAATGCCATAATCTCTAAAAAGAGCCAATATTCTGAATTGTTTTTGCTCATGTTGTCCCTTAAACATGATCTTGAGAATATTTACTTTGGTATGTAACTTCCCCACTGTGGGACTAATCTAATAAAGGCTTAATTCATTCATTCGTGTCATGTTTTAGAATGTGAAGTATAAAAAATATTGATCTAAAAGGCGTCCAGTCTAAGGACATGTCTCACCCCCAGGACAGCGATTCTGGACTTTTTCTTTTTCTTTCATAGAGTCTCACGTGTGATCAAAACAACCAGAGATGTGGAAAACTCCAAAAGGTGATTTATGAATGTCTCTTTTAGGTGGTGTGTATCATTTGCAGGACTTTGGTTCGTAAAGTCCTGCTGTTGAGTGTCTGTGTTCTTTTTTGTAACATTTGGGGCATTGCTCTTCAGGTTCTTTCATCCCAATCTGGCCAAACATGATGTGACAGCCCTGTCCTCGCTGCTCTGCCCTTCAACTCTTCACCAGCTACTCTCCCATACACACAAACACACGCACACACACACGTTCAGAACAAAAAAAGCCACGCATATTGCAAAAAAACCATTCACTAAAGTACACTTTGAATCATTTTGAAATCGCTCAAATCAAAATGTTTCACTCTGCAATATATTTCTTAAATTTTTTTTAATGCAGAATACACCAGAAACAGGAATACCGTTGCTGAGCTTCTAACCATGTATGGATCTGCAAATATGGATCTGCAAATCTGTTAAGACCGAGCTGCCATTACCACAGTCATCGTCTACATGTTGTTTTGGTGATCTCAATGTCAAAGCAAATTAATCTTTCGGCAACGTGGCAAATGCTTAAAGGAGCGTCCATATTTTGCGTGGGTATAAAAACCGTGTGCACGCTGTGAGTCACTTTTGTTGTGAATCAACAATAAAAGATCTCTGCTGTAACACCATGAGAAGTCCTAAACTACAACAGACTGGACTTGTTTTGAAGGAGCAGTATGTACAAATCTGGCCAAAAGTGGTACTGTGGTCTCCCTGACTCAGGTTGCCAGATATGCAGATGAATCCAGCTGGGACCATAATGGTTGAGAGTTTCATCAACAACAAATCTATAACCAACACCTTTTTCCCCGATAGAAATCCTTGTTTTATTTCTGATTGATATAATGATGCAGGGCGGGACATCAAAATGAAAACAATAACAAGATTTAGGGGCTGTAAAACTAATTTTGAAATCCAAATATCTCGGCTGAAATTGTAGTGCAGTAAGATGTTAGAAAACGTATAATTTCTAGACTAATATTGACAAGATGAAAGTGTTGGCACATTCTAGTGTTCTCTCTTTCTCTATTATTGAAAAATGTTCTACTGTTTCACATTTTATAACAGGATATAAGGACTTTAATTGTAAGACTCGTTAAGACTAAACGGATTGTAAATTTCTCCTGTGTGAGATTAATAAAGTATATCTTATCTTACACGTTGTTTGTTTGTGGAGTAAAATTTGTCCAAAAATTGTCAAAAGCAGTCAATGCTAATAAACTATGCACGTCTCTATGTAACTTTCAAAAATATGACATGGTGTGATTTCTGGGTAACTTTCCTCACCAAAATATTTCCTCTGCTTCCTGCTGCTGTTTCCCTCATTCACACAAATCCCTGACATTCTCTTTGTTTTGGTGCTTTTTCCTCCTCCACCTCCACAGCCACACCCCTCCCCACGGTCCTAATCCCCCCAGCAGCGCGGCTCGATCTGGGTCACACGTCTGATGCCGGGACGTCAGCTTCACTTAGAGCTGACGTCCCGAGACACGAGGAGCCGTGTCCAAAGCTGAGGTGCTGGTGCAAAACATGAGGACGACAAAAGACAAACGTCCGGAAATGATTTAAGTGAAGAAGAGATGGTTCCTGATGCACCTGGAGGAGTCTGTGGCTGTCAGGCTGTTACCAAACTGAGCTTAGGGAATAAATATGTCCGGATAAGTATGTTTTTGATCTAATTATATGTATCTATTTCTTACACTGCCTCTCGAAAGTACCAATACATCTTGAACTTTTACACAATAATTCATGTTTTTCCTGAAAATTCATTCAAGAGTAACATACAACTGTGAAGTTAAGGAAAAATGTGTGATTCTGTTATTTCTCCAGTAAAATGAAAGGCTGGGTGTGCACAAAGGCCTTATTTATGTAGTGTCCCATATACAGACTCTTGATGTGAGCTGAGGATGTCTGATTGATCAGTGTAGCCCTTGTTCCAGCTGTTAGTTTGGGAAAATAGATATTGGACAGTGCTCTTCTTGTTTAAAACGTTGGAAATGTTTGTATGACCTACTCGTGCTTCTAACTTTCTCCACAACTTCTGCCCTGACCTCTCTTGATGTGCTTCTTGGCCTTCATGATGCTGTTTAGTGACCAATCCACTCCGAAGCTTAGCTCTGAAAGTCATAATTTGCTGAAAATACCTTTATAAACTTCACACAAACTTCAACACAAACACTAGAAAATATTGGATATGCTAGCTTCATGTTTCTCTCTCCGTCGCTAAAGATTTGAAGTTACTCTCACAGATAATAATACATATTTTTTTTCCAAATTGAATTAATGGGATCCAATGGGGTCTAGTCCTCCACAATATGACGAAATCCTAAAGTAGCAGTAGAAAAGTGCCCACACCTGCTTTACACCATGTTCCAGTCCAACATATTGTACCGTAAAGACAGAAGAAAACGAGCACTAGGATTCTGTCAGATTACTCTGGTTATGTTGTAGCTACATACTGTTAAAAAAGCACTAGTCCGACTGAGATGTACACTTACATTTACACTTAAATAAGATACACTGCAAAGATGATAGGTTATGAGGGTTAAATAGAGAGGTTTTTGTCCTAATTTGAGCACATTCTGACTGTCTTAAAGTAGCGATATGTAAGATTTTCAAGTCATCATTAAATGAACCTAATCTGTCAAAAGGCATTAAGAAAACATACTCTTTTCGAATACTTATTTAACTGATAGCAGTAGCTCAACCGAGATATTGGAAAATCAAAATTAGTTTTACAGCCCCACAATCTTGTTATTGATTTCATTTCGATGTCCCGCCCTCCACCGTTTAACCAATCAGAAAGTCTGTGATCCGGGCGCTAGAATTCACCGCGTCGAGCTAATCTCACTGGAAAA